TCATTTTGGCCCAAACAGAGATTTATACTAAGAGACATGAGTCAGAAAACCACCTGGCGCTTTCTTCTGGCGCTCCCATGGCCTCCAAGAGTGAGGGAGAGCCTGAACTCTGGTCCTCTTTTTTTCTCCAGGCTTTGGCTCGCATAAGAGAGAGGGGAAGGAGAGAAAAGGCTGGAGAGCGCTTGAATGTGGTAGTGGGAGCGGAGGCAGGAATGTGTCCTCTTTATTTGTGTCCGTTTGTGGGGCATGATGGATGAGTTGGGTAGATGTGATGACCTGGCTCATCGCTCAAACGCTCAATAAGAGTCCCATCCTGCAGCAGGCCTCCCCATCCGGCACCCCCCTCTGTCACTGCTGCCAGCCAACGTGGGCGGACATTGTGGCTGGGAGGGTTGGAGGTTCAGCGGCTCCATTGTCCGGAGAGTAGCTCGGGCGGGGGGTTGGAGAATTGGGCATGACAGTGAAGATGGCTGGCGCTGACACTCCACATTTACAGTGCTCTTGGCACCCTAATGGATGGGGTGTTTTCTTAGGGCCTGTTGTCAGCCCTCAGGGCTCCATGGGGCGTCCAGCTTTGATGAGGTCAGTGGGGTCACGCGGTGTTGATGAGGTCAGCATGGGTCGTCCAGCTTTGATGAGGTCAGCTGCAGTGATGGTAGTGATGGAGCAGGCCAGGGCCATAATTGAGTGGAAGTGATAATGGTCCTGAGTGTGAATTCAGCCACCTGTGCTATTGGGGACTAATTCAGGCTGATATGATTATGTGAACTTGTCAGTAGTCATGCAACAGCTTCATTTTTCTATATGATTGGTGCTCCAATGGCAGTACCTACAGTAAGTTCTCAAACCTGCAATTACTTAGTTTTTGACCACTTTAGGACACAACACTGACATATCAACTGACATATTATCTTTTACTTAAGTATGTATGGTGAACTTGTAAGCATACAGTTGCCTATTTACAAATCCAGTAGTTACAAAACCACATTCTGCCTGACATAGCTTTGTTTTGGGTCTCCGCTAACTGCACAATGTTCACCAGCCAGTCACCGGCTTTGGCTGTCTGCTTTTTGGTAATGGAAAGGTAGACTGTACAGTGGCTTTTTAGAGCTTTTTCTCTGAAAACAGCTGCCTGCTGTGGCTAACGATGCTATGATAGTTGTGAGAGTGAACCAAAACAGTACAGTTGCAGGCCACAAATAAAAAAAATGAGCTGAAAGACACTATAAAACTCCACAGAGCTAAGGGGAACAGCAAAGTAGGGTGTAAATTCTCAGTGATTTGTCACTACAAGCCATCCCTTTCACATTGCACATAGTGAAACTGTTCTGGTGAGAAATATTTTTATAGCAGCTTCATTTCAGCTTCTACTATTCTTGTAGTGCATGTCCGTGTTTCATCATATTGATGTTATTTGTGCTTCTAAGAAGCCAGACATCACATGGCAAAGCCTAAAATGACCATGGCTTTAACTTCAACTATAACTTAGATGATCTTTGTTCCATTTTAAATAAATAGAACAAATACAGAGAAGTGAGAGCTCTTGCATTGATACAAAAGCAAACAACTCATCCTTCTGCAAGAGCATTTAAACTATCTAGAAGCAACTGTTCAAAAAGCTTTTAACAAACAAGAATTATACCTTCCCTACATCTGGCAGCAGGATTTTGCCACCAGCCCTCAGTGGCCACGCCCCCACTGCAATTCAAATTGCCCATGTAATAACATCACCTACATAAAGAACTTCCCCCAGACAAAAGTCCAAAGGCACTGCCTCTTGAAAGAACACCAAAATATTATGAATAGACAGCAGTGTGTATAATGTCATTGTGTGTGGGCAGCAGAGTGGAGGGCACCCGGGTGAGTTTGGCAGCTTAGCATTTAACTGTTGTGTGTGCACTGGTTTGATCAGTGTTGATTAGCACATGCCAATGTCACCCATGTATCCTCTCACACTTAATCAACACGTTGGGACGAGTTATTGCCATCATTAACCCACAGCTTCTCATAAAGGACTCAGTGTGTATTGAAGTGTGGCTGGCAATGCCCTGGATGAGTGTGTGTGTGTGTGTGTGTGTGTGTGTGTGTGTGTGTGTGTGTTAGTGTGTGTTTAAAGAGCTAAGGAAGTCAGACAGAAGAGTGTGCATTAGTCAGTGCAATCTGTTTTAGTTAAATGCGAAGTGTGTGTGTTTGTGAGTGAGTGTCAAAGGGGCTGGATCCCCAAGCTGCTGTGTCCCTTCAGTGTGTGTACGTGGACGGGTGGGCACACTGTGGGCAACACTTCGTGGGGCTCGGAGCCACTCAGCTAATGGGGCAGCTGGCACAGCCTCAGAATCCATCAGGCCTCATTACAGCTCCTGTTCAGTCACCGTCCTCTCTTTCTGCCCTCCCCTCCTTCCTTCTCTCCTCACCCCAACCCTCCCTTCCTTTCCTCTGCCACCCGTTCACGCAGCCAACCCTGTGTGGCATGTAACTGCCCCGCCACCCTCGCTGGAACATACATCACACCCCCAGAGAGAGAGGCCATCACAGCTGGCAGCTCTCACACTGATTGACTTGGCACCCGTGCTGACTCAGACGCCAGGGGAAACATTTTCGGAGAGGGCAGCGTGGATGGGTGTGGGAGTATAGCCTTCAAGGAGGGATGGGGGGGGGAGTGCTTGCTAACAGTTGGCACAAGTGGGAAGTGTGTTGGGGTGGGGAGACTCCACAAATCATCACATCAAGTTTTTGTTATGTTTACAATAATGGTAGCACCTCCTCTGTCGGTGTCCTCCCTTCAATGTGTGTGTGTGTGTGTGTGTGTGTGTGTGTGTGTGTGTGCAGAGCAAATGTTTGCATGCCAGTCCCTCTTTCTTCTTCTTCTCTACTTTTCTTCTTGTCTTTCCCCCACCCCTGTCCTCTCCCTCTTAGAAAGCAGCAGAGCTTAAGGTTGTGGTTTCATTACACTGTTTGTTTTTCTCCCTGGAGGCTACGGGTCATTAGTGTTATTGATGGACACTCAGCGCGGCCCACGAGGAACAGACCAGGACAGAGCAGAGCAGTCGTGCACATGGTTTTAATATGACGAGTCTAATCAGGACAGGCGTGGTGGCAGAACCACTTGGAGCCTGCTCTTGAAATCATCTCATTCTTTGCTCATGGAGTAGATTAGAAAGTAGCTCATCAAGGCCTTCAGCCCCATGTTTGAGCATATTAGGTTTGTGATACTGCCGGAAGAATTTAAACGCAAAACGTATGCTTCAGTGTCGGAACAATCTGAATATATAAACTTTATTATGTTAACTGTATTATATTGTGAGTTATCACTTGAATTAAAGGTACCTTCAATGGCTCTATATTTTTTTTCCATATTGAGCGCCATCCAGTGGTGAATATACTAATGTGCACCTACCTACATCTAATTTAACATTTCACCTAATAAATAAAAACAGTACATACAATATATATATACACACACACACACACACACACACACACACACACACACACACACATATATATAGTTTTTACAAGTTGTGAGATCATTTCTGCTGAAGTGATTCATTCTTTCTTTAGTGTGGGAGAGTTCCTTGATACGCATCTTTTTGCAGCCTCGACATTTAGCATTTATTTTTCCAGCCAACAGCCGAACAAATGGTGCAGGACGTGTTGAAATGATTTCCCCTCATTCTTTTATCTGAGCCGACAGCTTTGTCAGCTGGAGTTCAAAACATCGTGGCCTTCTGGGAGATCTGGTTCAACGCAGAGGGGCAGAAATTATCTCTGGGACATGGAGCTATGGCAGTAGAGTGATAGAATCTCTTTTGCAAAGAGTGCCGTATGCTTAATTACAGCAAAAAAGTACCCATGATTTGATCTTACCTTTTACGGGCTATTTCATCGCCAGTTTCCTGCACCCTTCTCTCACTCCCTCGCTCCTGATAAGCCAGCATGCGCACAACAGTAGGCCATTTATTTCCCCCAAAAGCCGTTTAGCACAAAGAACATCTTTGTTCCTGCACTCGTAATAAAACAAAAGTGTCTCTGCTGAGATCATTTTACGTAAACCAAAATGATGTCTGAATCAGCTCCTTTTCCTTTGATCATCTCGAATCGAAAAAAAAGAAAACCCACTGTGCAGTGTGCAGCAGTGTTGTAAGCAAACATATGGTTTGGCTTCCACAGGAGCTACTTCTTGATCTTACCATATCTTTTAGTGTGCCAGCTCTTTATTTGTGGCACCCAGCACTATGTGTGGAGGGCTGATCCAGAGGTGCAGTGGCCACCCAGAGCTCTGTGGATGGATGGCCTCTCTGGGCCTGTTTGACTGGAAACAGGTGTGTGTCATCTGAAGATGAAGGCCTGGCCGATAAACATTATTGGAGAACATCTGCTGCCTGTCACAACACAGGGCGAGCTGGAGTGGCCCCCTATCCATCAGCCACACCGGAGTGGGTGGGTGCGGGGGGCTCCATCGTCCGCTGCCGGGCCTGTTCGCCCATCACTCACCCCGGGGGATGCTGGATATGGGTTGCATGTTTGGTCCAGGCACCTGCCTGCCTCCACCAGACCAGAGCCGCCTTTGGCCAATAGAAGAGAAAATGCTCCAGCGCGCTTGAAAAATTCCTCTGGGACAGTGCTCACTCTGACACTGAAACCCCCCCATACAAACACAGAAGAGCGGGCACATACACACACCTTACACCACCAGTGGAACCTGCTCAGGTGCCTCCAACACCCCCACTCACTTTGGACTACTGTCAGAGAGGCAGGCATGGCCTTAACGCTTGACCCTTCTCCGGCTGATGAGAGAAGCCTGGTAGTAGCCTAGCACAAAAACACACACTGACATATCCACACACACAGGATCCCATAGCTCTTTATGACAGCTGGAACCTCTCTCCCCCTTCTCTACCTCCATACCTTACTGCTCCCTCCCACAGAAATCAATACTATGCAACACTGCATTCAAAGCACACAATTCAACAAATGAATGGTTAAAAGCAGGTGTCCACAGATGTTTTTGTTGTTATTTATTTTTTTGGATTGTTTTTTTGTTTTGTTTTTGTTATAACACAACCACAGATGATAAAGACACATGGGCAAAATAATGGAAAAGAGAACAGTAGAGTTTTTCGATTTTATACAAACAAAACGTATGTAGCACCACTGTCATAGATGATGAGCACAGTGGGTTATGACTGATATGAGTGGCACTGACCTGAGATATAATACAAAAACAGTTTTTGCAAATAACAACAACATTTAAATGAAATGCACATGTACGGTAAATAATAGCAGTGGTGATATATGGGATTTGTAATCTTATCTTCTTATATTATACGATCATAAAAATGTGTACAGGTGCTGCAGAAAAAAAGTCATTCTTTTTTTCAATTTCTATAAGACTCCTAAAGTCTGTTTCAGCTGCTGACTCAATAAACACAGATCTGAAAGAAGTGCAATGCGAGCAAGTTTTACCTGCAGTATTTCGCGACCGCACACCGCGCTGCCATAAGAAAACCCATGATCACGATGCCAATAATTGGAGAGTGTTCATATTGTGGTAAATGAAGCTTGTTCGTGTCAGATTCAGATTCCATGAGCCATGTTGGAATAACTTATGGATAGACAATGTCTTCACAGACCTTTGTAAAAAGTAGGTGTATGGGAAATAAAATAAATTAAGGTGAATATGAGTCCCATTGCTGAATGCTCATTGCACCAATGATCTGAGTTGCATTCGTTTTGGGAAATGATGCAGTTTCACAAAGAATACAGGGTAAATGTAAAAATGTAAAATTATAAGCAAGGGAATAAACACACATGAGTAATATGACAGGGAGCCATTTCAGTGTTTTGTGGGTTACTGTGATGGAACTGAACACTGTTTCAGTGGTGTGTGCTTCATTTACTATAACACAACTGCATTTTAAACCTAAAATATGTGTATGTGGTTACAGGATATTTTCAGCAAAATATATTTTTTAAAAATCACAGATTTAGTATGCTTCTTTATACGTCAGTCACCCTCAACTCCAAAATGTGTTTTGCTTCTTGTTGTCTCAGTTGGATGTGTGTCACTGTGTAGAATGATGTATGTGCAGAGTTTGACACAAGAAGGATGTTGTCACTTTCATCTGGTGAAGGGGGAACGTTTTCGAGTTTAACACATATACAAGCAGAATTTTATAACATTACAACTAAAGGCAACCATGCTCCAGTATGCAACTGTGTGTGTTGTTGAAACATGAAACCTCCAGCACAGATACACTTTCCAGTGAAGTATGAGACATCTTGTGACTAGTTTTGAAATTAAGCATCTTTGTTGATAGATTCTGGATTTCTGGAGAAGGGGTATGACACAACTTTTTGTGGGAAAAAAAACATATCAGACATAAATGATCATTTTAAGCAGAGTATTATATATTATATACAAATTTTATTATGAAACATCTCCTGATTTACCATTTATGGCTCTTCTACTGAACCATATTTCTGTGGCCCTCATGCCTGCAGTCCCTGTATGGACCTTTTCAGAATAAGCACATAAGTCACTCATATATTTCTAAATCTGTTTTAGAGGAATTTAATGTCCACCAGAAATATGCTTGGCATTCTGTTATGCTAACCATCAAGTTTTTTTGTGGATAAACATAGAAAGAAATGAAATGTTGGTAGCAGCTGTAAAGGTTCTCCAGTGACAAGAAAGTCTCAGATTTAGTCACATCTTGTCCAAATGCTCTTAAGAAAGAAACTGAACCCTTACCAGTTCAATAAATTAATGCTTAATGAATGCTTTCAACAATCACAAACATCAACAATTACAAACATCACAATGTGACGCAGATATTTGTGTGTATTGCTAAGAAGTCTGTGTAACCCTAGAAATTCTGGGGTAAAGGTTTAGAATTTATGGTCCTTTGAAGGCCCCTCACATGCCAGGTCCACTGGGTGATAATTGTCAGCTCCGGGCTCAGAGATGGAGTGCCAGTTTTTGACAGCTGAGTACCAGTTTCACAAAAACACAGCATTACAAACATCACCTTTACTGAGATGATCTGAGTAATGCCTCACGGAGCCAAGCCCTGTGTCTGAACATCCAGTCAGGAGTCTGCACCTCTGCTTGGGTTATGTGGCTTTGCTGCCTGCTCTCCTCTTTCTCTGGGACACAGAAAAGTTCAATGGTCCTGGGGTTTGGTGTAGCACTTCTGAAAAGAGAAAAGAAAAAAAAGCCAGAAGACATCAGCACTATTTGAAAATCAAAAGCAAATGTGCCGTTTTTTTGGAGGAGAAGTAACTGGTACGTAGTCTCCCGTGTGCTCGGCTTTGAGGAGGTAAAACAAAGACAGCCTCAAGCCCGGCTCCATGCTGGGTGCAGATTAAAATAACTGTCAGGAGACAGGAGCAGCTATTGAGGGAGACAGGGTGACACACAGAGTGATGGGGCTCAGCCTCTCACACTTCATGACACAGTATTTCACTAAAGCTGGTTCAGCTTTACAGCCTGTGACCTTGTGTGTGTGTGTGTGTGTGTGTGTGTGTGTGTGTGTGTGTGTGTGTGTGTGTGTGTGTGTGTCTCAATAGGAGATTAGGTTTACCTTCACTACAGGTGGGGCCCAGCCAGGTGAGCGGGCACAGGCATCTCCCATTCAGCCCATCACAGCGGGACCTGTGGGAACACTGGCACAGCAGGGAGCATCCAGGGCCAAAACGTTCTCCCCCACAGTCTGACACAGAAAAGATGGAGTGGAAGGGAGGGAGAAATTTAAAACATCCATCTTTTTTTCATTTTAACTATTTTTGATTTGTGTTAGTCCTGTTAATAAAAGTGTAGTTTCCCCAAGGTGATGTCTACCTTTGTCACACCTATGTCCTGTCTTTCCTGGGGGACATTGGCACTGTCCAGTTGATGGGTCACATGGGGCCTCACCAGCACAGTCACATGATTGTCCACAGTTCAATCCAAACCTGCCAGCTTCACACCCTTAAAATGAAAAAACACAGATACACACATTTAGTTGTATTGCTGCAGTTATGAGCACATTCGTTGTCTGTGAGGTAGAACAAAAAAATGTCTAGCTTTTGAATGGATGGTTGTATAAAAATATTTGACTAAAAATGTATACACTTAAACTCATATTAATTATAGGCGGAAATTGAGTAGTAAATAAAAAATCCAACACCATGGGTAATGTAAATACAAAAGTTTGTGTAAATGTCTGGTTCACAGTACACAAACCAAGACAAAAACTATACATTTAATAAGGGTTGGGAGGGTTACTTTATAATTTGAATCCAAGTATTACAATATTAAAGTAATGTAACTTGACTACTTTCTGTTTCGTTTTGGATTTCTCAACACCAATTGCTTGAGAGACAAGAGAAAAGAAAAATATCAATAAGATGACTTTTACCAAGTGTATTCCATAAGACAACAGAACAATATAACCATAGAAGAAGAATGATTTTTAGCATCAAAATCCTGTCCACTGCTCAGCGTATTTTTAAAGAAAAACTTGCTTTTCATAAAGAAAATTCTGATCATTTTCACAGCTGGAAGGCAGAACTTGCACTGTACACTGATGTTGTTCCTCTTTTCGGCTTTAATGATGGAATAATTAAATGTCAAATTTTTTTTCACTACAGGCTGATATTGAGTGGTTATTGTTCAGGTGCGTCGCATTGTATTCTGGTTGTTGTGCGCTTTTTTCCTTCTGTGCAAAAGGGAATACCACAGCATCTTTTTTTCCTTTGATCACATAGAGCCAATTTTTAAAATATTTGTGTTTCTACCCAGTTTTATGAAAAGACCATCATTTCAGTGATGAAAATACCATGCAACCATGCTGTCATCCACAATTCTGTTAGGGCAGTCTAGAAAGTTAGAGGTACAGAATTCAATGTATGGCAATCCAGCTGCAAAAACAAGGACATTTTTTCTGTTGTTCTGTTCTGCATTGTTTCTCTTTGCAGTACAGATGTGTTAGATCTTGCACTTCTTCAGCCTTTTCATACATGATTGGTTTGATGACTGTCTCCTTCCATCATCTTTCACAGATTGTATTGATTGTGTTGTATTGATTGGAACAAACCTCTCTTTGTCTGTATGACATATGTGCATTAGGACTGAAACTGAGCCAAACATGCTGCAACTTGCATAATACAAGCATGTCAGTGTCATCACTCAATGATGATGTCTTGGTGAGGTGGACAGCATGTAGCACTGTTTTGATGTCAACCTCTTCTTGATTACTCATCTAATCAGCCAGGCTCTCCATGCCATCCTTTGGTTTCTTCTGGTTTCTTCTGGATCGTCTGTTCCTCAGCGAGTCTACGTGTACCTGAGCTGGTTATGCAATTGCAGGCAAAAGTAAAAAGACTGTCAAGTACCTCTTATAAAAACCAAGGCAATTGATTTCTCCCCATGGCAGTGAAAAGACAGAAATAAATGGGATGACACTGAGTTGTGTCATGGTGCTTGTATTGCTTTTCTTTTATGCAAGTTGTGGCATGTTTGGCTCAGTTTTGGTCCGAATGCACAAAGGTCATACAGGCAAAGAGAAGCAAGCTTGCCATGCACTGACAAGCTGTGATATTACGAGCAGTTATTCAAAATAAGAAAAAAAAAATGCTTTCACACAACTTCAGAAGCACTTGGAGGGGCTGCAAGTCACTTAACAACAAGTCTTGAGGACTCATTGCCTGCAGCCAGGCATCACACACTCATTTTGCTAGAAGAAGAACGATAAAGGGGATCAGTTTACCAGTCTGGATGAGTTTAGGTATTTACTGGCACCCACCTGCATGTACTCAGAACCAGATATTCAGCTCGAGGGATGGATGTAAGTCTGCCTACGCAAACACATCTCTGAATAAAAGTTCATACAATTATGCCACGGACAGCGCTTGCACTCAAGCAGAAAGTGCACATATCAACCTCAGATTCTGAGATCACAAACTCATGCTGCCTGTTACAGCCTTAGTCACCTCGACTAATAAGTCAGTGCCATAGATAGGGATAACTTTCAGGAGTCAGATTTGGTGCCATTTGGTCAACCACCAAATGCATGTGCTCTGGCTAACAGGAAGTAGACATAAGGTCAAAAGTTAAATGTGTGCTGCACCCATTAACAAGATCAGAGCAACAGATCATCCTGTGTTTTAATCTAAAAATAAATCTAATTAGTAATTATAGTATTTACACTTTAAATATACAAAAATATAAATAAGCCACAGATATGTACACCCAGTCCCAGTTTGGTAACATTCTGATATTTATTTACAGAGATAATGTAATAAGGCAGACACTGTAAATGTTCACCATTTTCAGTTTTGGGAAGGATCCAAATATCAGTCAAATAAACAAATTTTGCAGTAAAACATTTTGATACAACCATCCACTTCACAAACTAGAAATATTAAAGTTATGAAAAAACATGGATGTACCCCAGGTAACGGTATCTTAAAAGCAAGTGCCGTTTTTTGGATATGTGTTGCTCTACCTACATGTTAAAAGGTGAAACACAGATTATATAATATATAATTCACAAGTGCATTTAGTGTTAAGAAAAGAGCATTTTTCTCACGCAGACACACAGATAGAGCCAGGTCTATCTCTGGAGCCTCTGGCTGCCTTACAGCTGCTCTGCAATGCTCAGTCATATCTCCTGCTGGGACCGAAGTGGCCATTTAGGCGCTCACACTGCGGCAGAGAGCCCCACGAGCAGGCAGGAGGGCGCAGGGATGTAACAGGAATGCATTAAGCAGTCTGGAAACACCTGTCTCTCATCAAATAACCAGCCTGCTTCCCTGCCCACCTACCTACTAGCCTGTCTGTCTGCCTGCCAGAACACATTCATACACACCAACTTTTTATCTCTTATTCATGTATGCTCATATCTGCCCATGTCCCACTGCAGCTGGGCATCGCAGGTGGCTGTGTATTAATGTGCACTAACTTAAGACTCACTATGCTTAATAGTGTTTCTGTCTTCATGCTGCTGCTTAACTGTAAGAATCTCTAAAACCTATAAAATGCTTGAAAGAAGATATTTGTATTCTCTTTAAAAGGATCTATAAAATTTGGTTCATTAAATCTTTTGTCTTTTTGATTTCAAATTTGATGATTTTTGCCCTTTTTGCAACCCAACCAAAATGTTAACATGTAGTTTTATGGATTTCAGTTGATAATTAACCTTTAGATAGCGATATATACTCACGTCTTTGGCATTGTGGACCATAGTAGCCTGGTGGACACACACATTGACCTGTCACATGGTCACATGTCTGCCCTACTTTACAGTCACATGTATGGGCGCAGTTGACTCCAAAGAATCCAGATGGGCATCCTGGGAGACACACAAGACACTGAATTTAGACTGAGGTTACTTGTTTCAGGATGTGGTTAGAATTGGTCACATAATCATGTTCTATCAAGGTTCATTCAAGTCACAGACTGTCACCTACTTCACTAGGAGAGTTTTACATTACTGTTAAAGAGGTCACAGTCTGGTAACGTCATCACCAAGTTTCTGTTTCTATTACAAATGAGTGTTTGCATACCGTGTTGACAGGAGGGGCCATAGTATCCAGCAGTACAGCTGCAGGTGCCGATAAAACGGTCGCAGGTCCCGTTGTTGAGGCATGAACAGTCTTGTGCACAATCAAGCCCATAATTTCCCTGTGAACAGGCTGCACACACACACACACACACACACACACACACACACACACACACACACACACACACACACACACACACAAAAGACACACACACAAAGTTGTACATTTTCAATTGAAACTGTATTTATAAAGAAACTGGGATGACAAGCAAAATGATATGGCAACTTCTGATAAAGCTGACACACTATGAACAACACAAACTCTACTATAATGGATGCTCATGTTGCTTGATTGCTTATCTTAACCATTTGTTACCTTTAAAAAACAGAAATAAGTGAATCTGGAGACATTTCCTTAAAAGAAAAGCTCAATTAAAGTGCACCATCTGATAGTAAACCAGGAAGTAAACAACTGCATTGAATTCAGTTTTGTTGTTTGTTGTTTGATTTCCCATGACTGGTGTACCGTTGTGTTCAGTGTGATTGTTATCTGTTGTGTCTATTGCCTGTGAAGCTGTACCTGTGTCACAGTGGGGTCCAGTCCAGCCTAGTCCACATTTGCAAGTCCCGTGGACAGGATCGCACAGACCCCCATTCTGACAGTCGCAAGTGTTTCTGCACTGCAGGCCGTAGCGCCCCCTAGGACACGCTGGAGAAACATTCAGAGAACATCAGGACAAGACAAGAACTATAGGCCAAACGGTCGTGCACATCGTGTGCTCTGTCTATCTATCTCTTTCACACACACACACACACACATACAAGATTGCACTAACCACATTCATGTTTATTTAAGCAACAGTTCATTAAAGAGATGGCAAAGTAGTCTAATTTGGCACTGATATAAAAGAATAATCATGTTTCTCTGGGTAATTTAGGTTGGGAAAACAATAAGCAAGCCGTCTTTGATTTTCCTGTTTATTTATTTGCTTCCTTGCCAATTCCAGCGACACGGAACACAGAGAACGAGCTACTTATAGGTTTCTGTAAACATTCAACAAGAGGAACTTAAGAGGTGGTATGTCCAAGTACATGCAGGAGGCTAAAGAAGAGAACATTTAGCACAGGCAGTGATGGAAATCCCCGCTTGCAATCCAGCTGAATTGCTGATAAAGGGAGAGATTAGGAAAACCCGACTCTGCCTCTGTTTGCCGGGAAAACAGCCCTGTGATCATCTGAGGCCTCAAACTGAGGAAATGGAGAATTTGTTACTTAAATATACAATGAAAAATGTTGAAAAACACTCCCTCATTTTAGTGCTTATTTCTCACTTTCTAGTTAAGACCTATTTCTGAAGAACTCATTAGGGCTAGTGGTTGCCACTGATGCATGTCAGCCTCAGTGGTGACTCTTTGTATACTCTAGAGAAGGATAAAAGATAAAAGGCTAGATACAAACCATGTTTGATAAGTGTGATATCGTTTTGCTCAGAGTTTAACTTGTAATTTAGTACATTTACACAGTGCTAGTGTGCATAATATTTACTGTATGGCAGCTGTAAACTCCACAATACTTTAAACCAAACTACAATTATTAATAACAATATTTTTTTACTTTAACTCTAAAATTATTAACATTGGCATAGCATCCTGGTATGTCATAGCTTCCCAACATGGGCTACAATAAACAATTAAAGACATCAGTTTGGCGTTACCTTGTTGGCAGGACTGTCCCATCCTACCAGGGGCACAGATACACCTCCCGGTTGCTGGGTGGCACTGACCTCCTTCCCCACAGGAGCACAGCTTAGCACAGTCCTTCCCGTAGTAGCCATTTGGACAACCTGTGGAAATAAACATGTGTTCATTCACACAAAAATAAAAGTACAAGAAGTTATGAAGATAAATATCTTCATTTCATAGGCCTTGTGGGTTGCCTCAGTCATGGTTGACCTGAATTTTCCAATACAACAACGAGGCTGCAAAAACCAGCTTCACTGAAACAGTAACTCCAAATAATGATAATAAAGGGGTGCAGAAAGACAAGACTCTTTTTCATTCTGGAGTACAAACAGGTGCAAAGTTTCCTGACTTACTTGAGCTGCAATCAGCTCCAATATAACCAGTAGGACAGTAACAAGCCCCAGTCCTGAAGTCACAGCGACCACCGTTGATGCAGCTGCATCTAGACTTACAGTTTGGCCCAAAGGTTCCTGATCGACATCCTGGAGACAAACCATAGCAACGGGAAGAAAAGAGAATATAAAAAAGGAGGGCAAAGGCCGTTGTCGTTGTTTTAGGTTATTTTACTTGCAGGATACAGTGGACAGATTAGCAGAACTATTAGTTTTGCTTTGTAAATAGAACAGGTGAACAAAAATGCAATAAAGTCCTGAGTGGACTTTTATTTATGAATAATATCTTAATCTTTGACTTCAATGTGCAACCCAACTTTAACTAAAGGCATATTAGTACGTCTTGTATTAGTCCACACGGAAAAATCAACAGTATACTTACGTAGCTCACAGCGTAACCCGTAGTAACCAGGTAAGCAGCTGCATTTCCCCGTCACCGGGTGGCACTGCTCTTGGTCTCCTGAACATTGGCACAGCTGGCTGCAGTTTTGTCCGAACATGCCAGCAGGACAAGCTAAGATGATACATCCAGAAACATAGATCAGCCTTCAATTGGCATAGTAAAATGCATAACAATGCTATGATATGTGAAATCATTTTCCTAATTAAAATAGAAGAAGAGAAGAGCACCTCTGTAGCTGAATGGTTACAGTGCATGCCACATGGTTGCAATCATCACCAGTTTAATTCCAGCTGGCAACCTAGCATGTCATACCTTGCTCTCTACCCCATTTTCTGTCTGCCTCTTCACTGTTGCTGTCTAATGAACGTAGAAAATGCCCCAAAACAAAATCAAATGCTATGCTCGTCTGTACAGCTCAGATGCCGTGTGCTGAGCTGTTTAAGGTTTTAGAATTTAAACCAATATAGGCAATCAGTGTTTCTGGATACAGGTGTTACATTGGTAAAATTAAAAGAAACTCAAGCTTCATAATGCACTTAAAATACAGCTGTCAGATTTTGTCTGTATCTGCAATACATTATCGCACACCAAAAATCAGCGAATGAATGCTCATAACAACTCCAACATGACATTAAGCCATTACATTGTACAGTTATGTGTAGTTGTGATGAAATTAAGACAACAGATTGGGCCTTAAACAAGCAACGTTTGCAGTAGTTGGTGGGAACAAAGACAAATGCCCTTTCCCTTTTACTTCATCAGATTATTCTGTGAACATACAGGGACATTCAGCATTGACTGGCAACCAAACCAAAACTCCCAACAACTTTCCCTGGTGCCCAAACCCAGATGGACGCAGAGGGGCATTCTTTCACACACCCTCTCTGCATACATACGTATACGCTCATCACAATAATGAATGGAGTCCACAGACAATCAGTCATAGCGAACAAGATGAATCTGTGAACCGAACATGTTTTCGGGTGAGACCGCAGCACTCTCAGTCAGGCAGCAGCAGGCAGCGTGGGGGACAGATAAGAAAAGACTCCAGACTAAAGAGGCAATTACGGCGCTGTCATTATGCATGTCTGCCTTCCAAAGGCCCTTATCCGCCGCCGAGGAGACAAAAACAATGCCTTCTGTTTTACTTGGCAACTGGTGTGTAACATTTATCAGATGTCTGGGGAGTGTGTGAGGAGAGGAAGGGAGCTGAGGTGGTGAGAGGGGGGTGTAGAAGGAGTGGTGAAGGGCTGAGTAGAGAAGCTGCTCATATACAGTCCTAAAGGGTCTAAATAATGAAACATTAGCATAAAGTCCTGTGACAGTGAGGGTTTAGTGCCGGTGTAGAGTGCATTTCCTGGAATGGAATAAATGGTAATCTTTCCCTGGAGGACAAGAAAAAAAGAAATTTTAATCAGTATTAACAGAATGATTCTTGGAGATCACTTCACTCCCATGATGCCTTTTGGGGGGTGACAGTGTTTCTATCAACAAGGCACATATGTTAGCCAAATGGTTTTTAATGCTTTGTGCAACAGTGATATTAGCCAAGTGCCAATAACCAGTTATTCATAAGGGGCATCTACATTTCCAACATTTAGTTATTACCTAACTGTTAAAACACAAACCTCATGAGGGAAAATCTTTATATTTGTGCAGTAAAGTTTTATTTTTCCAAGATAGTCTTTCTTTTCATTCTTACGTTTCTCGCAGCCAGGTCCTGCGAGTCCAGCTGGGCAGCCGCAACTCCCCGTCTCATGGTGACAGGACACCCCAGCCTGGCACTGACACCGCTGGGCACAGGAAGGACCGTAGGACCCCGGAAGGCAGGCTGCGTACACATGCATAGTCACTTTACTCTCATGTTCAAAAGGTCCTCTATTGCCAGTTTCATTCCGTTGCAATTTCCACGGTCCTATTACACACTCACGTTTGTCGCACCTGGCTCCCCTCCAGCCTGGCATACACTCACAGCGGCCCGTCACATGGTGGCAACTCGCATTATGGACACAGTCACAACTCCGCTCACAGCCCTCTCCAAAGAATCCCTTAGAACAGGCTTCAGACAAAACACAAACGTTTGCGTACAGCATACAACATTAGTCTGAGAACAAAACCTTTTTAAAATGTTCCCTTTTTCAGTGCTTATTTACTCTAGCCTAATTGTACAAATTGTTTTGACACAGTAAGTTTTATCATTCCAGAAGTAAGTAAACCTTCACTTCTTTTTTGCTGCTGTTTGAAGTGTTTGCAAATGCAGCACAAAGCGGTGAGACAAATGTTTTTTCAAGATGCAAAATCAGGCACTAGAGAGAGCACAGCTGGATGTCAGAGTGGCTGTATATATATATATATATATATATATATATATATATATATATATATATATATTTCACTGGGACAGGTGAAAAACAGATTACAGATAATATGTCTGAACTAAAATGCTAAATAAGAACTAACATGCTGCCATGCAACAGTGCTGATGTGATGCTTAGGAAGTTACCTGACTGACAGAGCTCTCCTATCCAACCAGGCAGACACACACATGTCCCTGACACTCGGTCACATCTCCCGCCATTCGTGCAGCTGCAGGACTGGGTGCAGTTCTCTCCAAAACGTCCTCTCTCACACTCTTGAAGGGAAGGAAAGATGAACGGTACATTCAAGAAATTATTCACCTCATTAATACAGAAGGGTTTTCCTCAGACATTGAGTTGGGAAGGCAGGGACAGGTGGGCAAAATGTTAAATCAAGAAAAGTACATTTAAGAGTCACATGTGTCACCCTTTCAATGTAACACATGGTACTTCATGACTCACCTAACTCACAGGCAGCTCCAGTCCACCCGGGCGGGCAAGAGCACTGACCAGTCCCACTATCACAAGAGCCTCCGTTCTGACACAGACACTGGATAGAACAGTGTTCCCCATATTGTCCTGCAGGACAGGCTGAACTCACGCACACACACACACACACACACACACACACACACACACACACACACACACACACAACAACATAGTACAGTAGAGAGAGTTAATTATCTGAATGGGTTTTAAGATTATACAAAAGGCTAGCAGTGACGAAAATACTAAGATTATATCTATCAATGTGACATTGATTATTATATAATGTTGATTAGAATCCATCCAGCAGTATGCACTACGTCCATCTGATCATGACTATTAATCACTTACTACCATTAAGTGTCAGGGTATGGGTTAGCACACCTGACTGCTCTTAAAACAGGTGAAAGCTGCCCCCACACACTGTCAACTTCATGTATATTTAATATTTGATCTTTTCATTGAGAAACAAATGTAAGTAAACCTCTAGCTGCAATTCTCATTAAAATGTTGATTCCTGAGGTGTGTGTATTTGCAATTTTTTGTGCATATTTTTATATCAATGCATTTTTATACCCATTTATGTGTTTAGGTTTTTCGCATGTGTAACAAAAACATAACAATTTAGATATTCTGGGTGATTATACACTAATGAAAACAAACGTATGAATATTTCTCCCATTTCTGCCAACAGATCCTCCTAAATGTTACACACTGTTCCTTTAACAGCAGACAAGATACATCCACTCCACCATTTCCAAGACAAAACAGCATAGTTTGTAAAATGGATAGCTGGGATGTAAAGTCTAAGTAATTTGTATTAAATGAGCTAAAACCCACTGCTATTGTCTCTTAAGTAAAAAGCAAGAAACGGTTTGATAGGGTTTGTCATGCTGAGTGATGAGCTACTCACGCAGTTGGCAGCGGACTCCAGTCCACCCGGCCGCACAGCTGCATCGCCCGGTGACGTGGTCACACCTGGCTCCGTTCTGACACTCACAGGTCTCACTGCACTGCTCCCCAAAATGACCCTCTGGGCATCCTACCCACACACACAACACACACACACACACACACACACACACACACACACACACACACACACACACACACACACACACACACACACACACACACACACACACAGGATAACATAATACACACACAAAATTAACTTAAATGCAACTGCAGCTGTATTTGCAGCAAATGTATGAGACTAGAGGGCTAAAGGACATTTTGAGACATTATGGTTTTCAGCACACAGATTGTAAACTTCTCCTTAATGATCAAAGTCCAAGATGACATTTGGAGTCTAAGAAGGAGGAAAATGCGCTAATGATAGAGATGCATCATTAAGTCATGCTAGTGGCTTTCTGCTGACTCTGGCTCTGGTAGTTAGGACCACAAAATGGCTGTGGCAAGAGGAAAGTCTTGAATAAGCCTACAGAATGACAGACTAAGAACTTTAGTGGGCATTTCACTGGATCCATTAAAACAACGGCATGAAATCCTCAAGAAACTTTAGCATGAGAACACTGATTGGTTTGCTACTAAAGAGTCTTCCGAGTTATGTTCTCCCTCTCCTAATGTTGATCGCTATAAACACGTGGGTGCATTTATCCAGAATAGACCTCAATTAAACCATGTATGCTCGAGGGCAGTCTTGTCCTCCCTCCTTTCTCCACCCTTACCCATCCCTAAAAAAAGTCATTGGCAATGTCTCATTATAGAGATAATTGTTCACAAACACATCGTAGTTGTGTTTAAGGAGAGGATGTCGTGATGGGCTGCAGTGAGGGCCTCCCTCACACCCCGTTTTAATGATGTGGCTTCCATTACCCAGAATGCAGTGTGGTCCTGCCCAGCCGGCGGTGCATAGGCAGGCTCCTGTGATGTGGTGGCAGCGGGCACCGTTCCTGCACTCGCACATCTGGCCACAGTCAAGACCGTAAAAGCCGTCCGGGCACACTGTGGGCCAAGATAAAACATCCGACTGGTTAGAACTGGCAGCTTCATAAAAAAAGAAGAGGAAAAGGGTTAGATGCCAACTTCTTCTTCTTCTTTTTTAGTTCTTTCTCTTCCCTTCCCCATCTCTCACTCTCTTCTCCTCCTCCTACTTTCCCTCTCTGTCTTACCACCTACTGAAAATACCAATATCAAATTGCAGTACCATGCTGTGGCTGTTCATTTGCAGAGGGTCTGCGTTCGTTAAGCAAGCTCATGTCCCACATGTGTGGTGGATCTGGGCCACATCAAAGTCGACGGCGGCTCAGAGGCTGTTCCCTTTTTTGGGGGTTTGAGGGGGCACATAGAGCTGGTAATTAGAGCACCTGCTGAGTCCACAGGCCTCACCAATACACAGCAAAACAAAGCCAGGTTACTGTGTCCCTCCAACACACACATACCTACAGTATCGCTGCTGATGCAAGGAGATGCCAGTGTAAGTCTGTTTCCCATTCTCAAGGAGAGCCAGAGAGATTGTTTAAGTGTGTGTATAGTCAATTGACACTCAGAGAGTTTGGTAAACATAGTGCCTCCCATCCACCAAGAACCTAGCCAGAGGCAGTGGGATGAATGAGCCTTTCCACTACTGGCATGTAAATATTGTCTGTAAGCATAACTTCACCAGAGCAGGAAAGAATGACTCTGTTTATTCACAGCCTATTTTTGATCGCTCAATTTGTCAAGAGATCATATCCTAACTCAAGCATCATGGCTGTATTTTGCAAAACAAAAAAAAATAAATCTTCCATTCTGGTCTTTATTTATTTTTGTGCAGCCAAGGTTTTAGTTATTGACAGCCATTTGCAGATATGTCTCTCTTCGAGTACCCTCTCCTGTTTTCTGTTGCAGTAATATTTGAAAAAAACTGAGCTTGGCGAGGGTTTGGGTAGATTCTGTCCCAATTATCTCAGCAGCCAGCAGCTTTTCATTCCCTTTATGTACTACCTCCTCTATCTATAAGAAAAGCAGCGGACCGTGTTACCAAAGGAAGCCACAAATAGGGAGGGCAGGAGAAATGTGTAACTTGGTGGTTTTATGTATATCTAAATACCACAGTACTCAGGGTGTTTCCCTACAGTTTATGCATCATACCCTCCTTCTCCTGCTCCAATTGATGATGCTGTCCACTCCTCCTTCTTCTGCCCCAAGGCCTCAAATTGGGAGAAGTATCTTTTTTGCTCAGCAGTTTCTGGCATGGTCATCGCTGTGTTCCCACGCTGACAGCATGACGTCTTTGCTTGCCTCTGTTGTGGTTAGGCTGCGATGCCATTAAAGTCAACCCACTGACGATGCTGTCATTTTAACCCAGCTGTACATTAGGTCTGTGGTTGTACTGTAGCAAAAATCACTGGTTTATTGTCTGCTGTTTATTATTATAATAGCAATGGCTGACACCATGGCAACAATCTTTCTGTCCTGCGGGAAAATGTTTAGGGGATGTTACTTCAATATATCATTTATTTACCAATGAGAAAGTGTCTCAACGCATCTGTGATGTTAAAAAATAAACATCTCAGATGAGTGATGCTCCCTTTTAATGAGGTCTTTATACCAGACTCAGTAATCACCTAAACATGTTTAAACACTTTGCTTCCTTTTCAAGTGCAGCAGACAGTTTACTGCAGCACACACACTCTACGTTAAATCTTCAGGGGACATACTGACACTTCAGTTTATTGATCGTTTATGCCAGCAGGGGGCGACTGGTTTCCATATAAACCACAGAGCAGCAATCTGTCATCTGGTATTAGCACAGTGTCTGCATGTGTTTGTAAGTGAAGACTCATCCCTCTGTGTCTTTGTTTATAGGTAGGCACAGAGGATTCAGTTCACCACACACACACACACACACACACACACACACACACACACACACACACACACAAGTTCCAACGCTGAAAGACTCCATCTCTAGACTAAATGAGCTCTTTAAGACAGGAGGATTATTTCCAGATCCCTGGTTGTGTAAGAGCCACTGCTGTCAGCCCATAAAGCAGGTCCAGGGACCACACAGCCGGGGAGAGCAGACCACAGAAATAGAGCGGATAGGGAGAACATAGAAAAGAACTTCCTGGTGCCATTCAGGGTCTATACACTGAAAGAGGTCAACACAACAACAATAAAACAATCCAGCTTCTTCGACAATAACGCGGATGTTCGATGCCAGTTCTTTTTACTGCGACCAAACAAACTATTTTTGATACAAACATCAAAGCTGCAGACCAGAAACAGAGCTCCATCCACGTTAATTGAAGAAGTGGTCTAGTGTGCGGGACCCATGTCAGCACAATAGCTTGTTTCCTCTGACAAAACTTCACTGAAATGTTTAGCATCAACCTCAGGGCCACAAGAATGCTCAATGAAACTATGCATTTGCCATAGTAACAAGCTTTTGAGTCTTGTAGAAAGCAATTATTCCCATGAATAACATCGCCCACGTAGAATCAAACACAGAAGGAAAGTCATCTCTTTCCATTTTAATTCTGTGGAACAGATGAACTGGAGAGATCTGGTCCTTCTCACAGCCCAGGCCTCTTCCTGATTTCTCCTGAAGGAAGAGGCCCAGCAGAAGACTGAGAAACTGGACACCTCTGTTAGAGGAGAAAAGGCCTTCAGAAAACAGAATCTGGTCAGACCGATAGCCCTATTTCCACAGCAACGTCCAATCAGAGTGACGTGTGTGTCTGAGGCCATTAGACTGTTATGACTGGGGATGTGAAGCTCTGTTCTAATGTGACATGGCCATGATTTACAATGCTCCATGTGCTATGGAGGTGGTATGAATTTCTGGGCCTGGTAGTACACTTACACTAAATCTTACACTTTGCAATAACACGGGGCCACTTCAAGTCAAAAGACTATAATCAAGAACAAATCTATTACGTTGTTAAGACTGTTGGACTGTTGGTACGTCTTTCAGTTCAGTAAAAATATCCCAATGATGAGAAGAATATTTGTTACATGAAGGGTTTGCTATGGCAGGATGCTTGAAAAGACTCTGCAGGCTATGAATTACAGTCCATCTATCCCAGAATGACTAATACAAATTATATCTTGGGATTTGTGTGGTTTTAAAGTGGTTTGCTTATGACATTACTTGGACAATCTGATGATTCATTGAATCTGTGTGATGATTCACTGAAACGGTGTAAGAGATGAGAAATTCAGAAGAATATCCTGCAGCGCCCTCTAGTGTATTAACAGTTGAAGACTACTAATGTCTCACAACAGAGAGGAGGCTTTTAAACAAGTGGGCGATCACATTTGTCCCACATCATTTATAGCTCAACAAAGTCAGCATGGATAGTTTAACAAACAATCAGAGAATAAAATGTAAGTGCTTCCGAATATAGTATTTAAATCTTTCACTGTAAAATTTCAAATGTAACTGAATTCAGGGATTGAAATGTTGTCAACAATCCAATTTCACTATTAATAATATTAAATATAAAATGCAACTAATTATGATTATTTTATTATCAATAAATAAATGAACGACACATTGTTTTCTGGATTAATAGAGTAATTATTTCGTCTGAAAAAAGGCAGATAATAGTAAAAAATTATTCACATAAGTATAGATGAGTAGATTGATGATAGACTGCATGTTCCAAACGCAAAGATATTCAGTTTACTTCCTCATACGGCAAAACAAGCAGCAAATCCTCACAATTGAGAGGCTGGAGTGTATTGTTTGAGTAGGTATGTGGTGGACGGGAGGACAGGTGGAGGGAGGGTTCTGTACTAGTAAGTGATTATCTTGGATTACCTGTGTGCTCAGCTTTAAGAAAAAATAAGCATAACTATATTCCTATGCTTTTAGAGTGAAGGAAGGGAAACTGAATTTCACATTTTAGTCAAAGGAGCACAAGCCTTTTAAAATATAACCTTGTGTACATTAATATTAACTTTGTTTTCCTACAAGTCGCAACTGCCAAGTGGACCTTAAATTAATCTTGTAAATTTCCAAAAACCATTTAATAACATTTCAGTTAAAATGACTCCAAAAATAACAGATACGTTCGGGGGGAAAAAATCACTTTTCTCTCAAAACAGCCACTTATCAAAAAAAAGAAATTCTTACTTTTTTCACAGTACGTGCCAGCATATCCAGGAGAGCATGTGCAGGCTCCGCTCACATGGTCACAGAGGGCTTCATTCTGACACTGGCACTGCTGGGCGCATTCCTGCCCATAGCTGCCATTCACACACTCTAACAGTGAACATATGAGGGAGACAGACCAAGAGTGACTTAACAAAACAACAAAAACTATTTCAGTTTTAGGAAACACTGTCTTGTTGCTGTGTAATGCTTGGTACTAAATTAGTTCCTGAAGATAAATCCCAGAACTGTAGGAGAAAATGCAAAACTCACTGAAATAAAACACACGCTATAATATGCTACAAAATATCCAGGAAATTACCTCCAGTCTTGGATATGAGCGCAAAAGATGTTATGAGTGACAATCGCCCCTAGGTGGCAGCATTCACTAAAATATATCTTTTGAAACTATGATATTTAAGAAGCAAACTTACTCTTTTCACAGTGGTCTCCAGTGAAGCCAGCCTCACACATGCACTGACCAGTGACTGGGTCACAGCCCACAGACATCTCTTTGCACTGGCATTTACTGAGGCACTGTTGCCCCCAGTAACCAGATTCACATGCTGCGGAGGTCGGAAAATATTGGAGTGAAAGTTAAGCACAAACTTTTAATACATTCACTGTTTTACTGTCATGTTGTCGTCTGCCACTCTAACACTGTAATTTCTTTAAACTTAAACTGAAATGAAGTACAGTATTATGATTTTTGTAAGGATAATTACAGTTCTTACATGTTGCACAGTCATGCCCTCTTTTGCCAGGAGGGCAGACACAGTGTCCAGTCTGTGGGTCACAAGTAGCATCAGGGTGGCATGTACAGCGCATTAAACAGCCTGGTCCATGGAAACCTGCGGGACATTCTGTACACAAGGTGACATTCATAGGATCATGCTTTAGTAATCCACTCTTTTTGACTGACAGAGTGGGAACTGAAAAATCTCAGATTAGATCATAGCAATTGCAAAATCTCCATTCACTTAATTGTTCAACTGTTTTTGTTTGAGATGTACAGATTTGAATTAAAGGTCAAACAACATCACATTAAAATGGTTTCTTGACTCTTAATTGGATTAAAACTCACCATTTTGGCAGAGGTTGCCCATGAGGCCTGGTTTGCAGTCACACACGCCAGTGTGCTTGTTGCAGGAGCCTCTGTTCTCACAGTTTGGACAATATGACTGGCACTTCACCCCCCAGAATCCATCTGGGCAGTCTGAGGAGCATCACATATCTTTCAGATTAAGTGAGCAGTAAGCCACTTATGTCAGTTATTTCTCTATAAAGCCCTAAAGCTGCTTATTTTGGGGAGAAATGCATTAAATGGCAAGTAAGCTGCAAAGCAAAGGACAGCTTTCTAACTGGTTTGGTTTAGCGAGGCACCAAAGAACACAAACATCCTGGTTGTTCATTGGGCTAAAGATAATACTGCAGGCTCACAGTGTCAGTGAGTTCAAACAGGTCCTCAATCTGTATCACATGTCATCCAATTTTCTATTTTGTACCACAACATCATTAGGCTATACCAAAAATCAATGGAACATGAACACCATCCAAAATAAATGTACCTTCATGACACGGAAGATTAAAACATTAAAACAGAGACAGATACAACACAACAGTCACGGCAACACATGCACACAAACACAAGCCAGTGTTGTGCAATATTGCATAAATGGGCTAAGAAAGAAGAAATAATAATTTTCTGTTTATCTATTCAGCCTCTGCCAATAGCTTCTACAGGAGTAACTGAAGTAAATTGCCCCTGTCGAGACCTGGCCTGCAACTTACTTACTTACAATCCAGAAATTGTGGATATGTTTTCCCTTTTTTTTGTTTTGGCTTTGACAAACCCAGCAAGCCAAGGCCTGGACTGTGCATTAGTGCTGACATACTGTAACTCTGCTCTGTTATCTAAGTCCACTCCACAGAGACATAAAGTCATGTTTTTACCAGAGGCTCCTGAACAATATACAGTATCACTTTAACTCACAACACAGAGGGTTGAACTTTCCATCAACCGGCAAAGTAAACAGTCAGGGGACACCCTGCTGTGGAGGAACACTCATAGTTTCAGTTGTTCAGTTTGTACATAGAAGAACACCTGCACTGACCAGGTGAATTCAAGAGAAAGCCTTATTTATTTCACCTAGTAAATCCACTCAATCCATCAAAGGTAGCAGAGAATGAATAGAAAAGGACAGAATAAAGAAAGATTTATAGGCAAATTGAAAAAGGTTGCGACAGAGGTTGAGAAATTCAGAAACTCATTCATAACAATTTGTGTTGACATCAGAAAGGGCACGCATTCGCGCAAGCATGAAGTATGCAAACAATATCCACACATGTAGACGCATGTGTCTGTATGCAAGCCCACGCACTTCACATATCCACACACATGCTCACAGTCAGTGTATCCACAGTGATACTTTACTATAAAAGTTACGGCCACATGAGGGCACTGTGCAGGGGGACATCCCACATCATCAGCTCTGTGTTTAAAATCATTGAAAGTAAAAAAAAAAAATCGTATGGATGCATGCCAGATGTTTGAAAGAAACTCTAAAACAAAGACTACACCTGAAATAAAGTGCTCCTTACGCTTACATTCACTTTTAGAAGTACTTTTAGAACACGTTTACAGTCCGATGAACAATGTAAAGCAGTTTTTTGTCTCACCCAGCTGACATTTATCTCCATGAAGGCCTGCAGGACATTTCTGGCTGCACTCTCCAGTCCTGGGGTCACATGACCCTCCACCTGGACAGTCACATGGCTGCTCACAGCCTGCACCAAAGAAGCCAAGCTCACACTCTACATTGGGGTATATACACACACAGCAAAGGGGGAAGATTAACAATCTCAAAACACACTTGCAAACATTTTGTGAAACTACGTAGCATAGACAGGTTATTAAGATCTTAACCAGTGATCGACTTGATTCTGTGATCACTGTAGGCTGGTCTCTAAGAACAATCACAGCAACTTCTTAAACTGCTATTTCATTGTACACCATTATATCAAAACTGCACTGCAAGGAAACAGCAGGCTCCAAGTGTATTTCCCACAGAGCAACTGAAATTATTGGCACAATAGTCCTTTTACTGCACCAGGAAATAAACTTGGATCTATATAAAGCTGTGAAATAGTCAATACAGTAATTTATCCACAAAATCAACTTGGCTGAAAAGTTAGGCGGTAGACCTGAACATGTTTGTGTCAAAACGTAACTAAGCACGGATCTTAACCATAATTCCTTGCATGCCGAAGCTGTCGGTGAAGAAATGAGCTGGTGTTTTAGTTTTAGTGCTTATACCTTTCTCACACTGTGGGCCATGGTATGCAGCCTTACAGAAACATCTCCCTGTTTTGGGGTCACAGCCAGTGGAATGTTCTTGAACACAGTCACATTCCTTGGAACAGCCTGCACCGTGCGTCCACCTGGGACAAGCTGAGGGCCGGACGAGATCAGTTTAAAAGAGACAAAAAAGGATGAGTTAGGTTGATGTAGAGCGATGAATGGTTTCAACATGTTTGCATGTTTGTATCATGTAGTACAAAAAAATACAGAATTACACTTATATTCATATGAAGAGCAAGCTGCACCTCCTACAGTATTACTGCACTAAAACAAGGTTTAAGGTTAAACAAAGAAAACAAATTCTTCCACGAATTTATGTTTGTTAAAATTAAGGTGGTCATGGTTAATTGAGGAAAAAACATTGAAATGAAACCTTCTGTGCTATCATATTACATTTTTGTATGAGCCAAACGAACACACCCAACGACCATATTATCACAACATCTGACGTCTGCAAGTTTAAGTCATGTGACCACTGCTTCCAGATTCACTCGATTTATAGAAAATGATGGTGCATCATTCATCCTTACTAGTGTATAATTATGAATATAATTTGAGATAAGGCTGACAATTTGGGCAAACAATTTCCAGCAAAGTTTGTTGTGTTGTCAGTAGCCATCGCAAACTTTATCACATTAACAGAAACACTGAACAAACATATGTGTATGTGAGACTTTTAAAACTGAAGCACTGCCACATCTCCACTCAAATGTTTAGCACAATCAATCTGCATGTATTTTGCCAAGATTGTCCCTACTCAGCAACAAAAACTCCACTCCACCCTGTCCCTCTCAGCGCTGGCTTTATGTTAGGTGCAGCTGCAGGCTCTGGTTACACCCTCTCCACCCTCTAAATGTCCCGCTGCAGGATGAAGCAGACAGCTGTGAGAATCTGATAATATTCCTTGTGCACATTCTTCCATCATTCAGTTTGGTCTTAGAAGAGTGAGCCGCTTCCACGCTGAGAAAGTAAGAGCAGAAATCCGCCATGTCCATCCGGAGGCTTAGGAGCAACCCTAAAACACTTGGGGATGTCAATATGGTGACTGGGGAGCTGAGGAATCTTTATTATAAGAGGCTGCTGCCGATAGAGAAGTATTACTCTTTCCATCACTTTCATTCTCCAAGCTATGAGGATGCAGACTTCGACAACAAACCAATGGTCTTGGTGATGGGTCAGTACTCAACGGGAAAGACAACTTTTATCAGGTCAGGATCAGAACTTTTTAAAACCTCAGATTTGTGCATGTATTATGCTGAATGTATTGCACCCGTATGTTGGGGTAATAATGTTGGTGGTATGGTATTGCTATGTTTCAGGTATCTCATAGAACAAGATTTTCCTGGCAGCAGAGTTGGACCAGAGCCAACCACTGACTGCTTCACTGCCCTCATGTATGGAGAGGTGGAAGGAATCATTCCAGGCAATGCCCTCACAGTGGATCCGAAAAAGCCCTTTCGCAACCTCGACCCTTTTGGAAATGCTTTTCTGAACAGGTGAGAAGATACAACAGACAGAGAGAGAGAGATGAAGGAAGAAAGAGAGAGTGAAAGAAAAGGGAAAGGGGAGTTGTTGTTGTTCTTTCCTCCTTTTTTCTTCATTTATCATTTTTATTTCTTTTACTTTTTGCCAATGTTCTGCCTTCAATATCATAAAAGTACTGCAACAAAACATGTAGTGTTAAGATACTTCAAATTTATGAGAAATAGCTAAGAGATTATTTTGAATGCTTTTTGGTGACGCTTTTTTTTTTACTTTGCAGGTTTCAGTGCGTTCAGATGCCAAATAAAGTCCTTGAGAGTGTCAGCATTATCGACACACCTGGCATCTTAACTGCTGCTAAAAGAAAACTGAGTCGAGGTGAGAAAGAGTACCTTTCTAAGGTCCTTTTCAATGTCAGGAGGAATTAATAGGTCTTTACTTTCAGTTTTTTAGACAGTTAAGGTTGGAAAGCATTGTCACTGTCAGAAGGATTTACATTCCTGCTAAGAGAAGAGTCATAGTAGCTGCATTTCAGCCCAACACAATTCAAACACTTAAAGTCAGAAGCACAGCAGATGAAAGTAATATCACAGTGAGTTGGAAGGAGAGGAGCAGAAAGTAACTAAGCATTCCTTGCTTTGTTTTATGGACGCATTAATCTATGGGTGTAACTGAAATGGCTTGAAACCAGTGAGGGCCACTGGGATACATTATATGTTCCTCCACTTCTTGAGGCAGTGGGACTTGCCCCATTACATACAGTGTTAATGAAAACCCTGTGTTTTCGTTCCTTATCCCCAGGCTATGACTTCCCAGCAGTGCTACGCTGGTTCGCAGAGCGTGTGGATCGAATCATCTTGCTGTTTGATGCACATAAACTAGAGTTCTCTGATGAGCTCACTCGAGCCTTTGGGGCTCTGTGTGGCCATGAGGACAAGTTGCGTGTTGTTCTCAACAAAGCTGACAGGGTGGACTCACAACAGCTCATGAGAGTTTATGGTGCCCTCATGTGGTCACTGGGGAAAGTGTTTCGAACCCCCGAGATCTTGAGGGTTTACATCGGATCTTTCTGGTCAGAGCCGAGGCAGATGTGTGACCATTACCAGCTGATAGAGATGGAGGAGGAAGATCTGTTGGCTGACATAAGGAACCTGCCGCGCAATGCTGCAGTACGCAAACTGAATGACCTGGTGAAGAGGGCACGCTTAGTAAGGGTGAGAGATTTCATATATTCAATTCCAACCCATACTTTAGGTAACCATTTACAAACCCTAATGCAGTTATGGTGATTTTTGGTTTCATTTGTGCTTTATCCCCTCCTAGGCTCATGCCCACATTATCAGCTACCTGAAGCAAGAGATGCCAACAATCTTTTGCAAAGAAAGCAAGAAGCACAATCTGATTTACCAGCTTCCTGTCATTTTCACCAAGATCCAGCAACAGCATCGAGTCCCAGCCGGCGACTTCCCTGACTGCACCAAGATGCAGGTCAAACATTACTTTTCAATTGCTGTCTAAATACCATATATACAGAAATATAAAATTGATTTGCCTAAATGTGCTTTGTGAGCCTTACGTGTGATTGCATATATTTTCAGGAGAAACTTTTGGGTCAAGATTTCTCAAAGTTCAAGACACTGAAACCAAGTCTAATGGCTTCCCTGGATAAACTCCTGACCACTGACATAGCAAACCTGGTGCCTTTACTTCAACAACAAGAACTGAGGAAGAAATCTCTCCATGGTGTGTTGGACGGTGACTTTTTGGGGACATTCAGGCCCGAACATTACAGGAGAGACCCTTTCAAAGAACCCCCCAGAGATGACGAGAGCAGTGAGGCAGATTTCGATGAGTGGGCAGTGGAGAAATTCAAGCCAAAATACGATGAGATTTTCTACAACCTCAGTCCAAGTGAGGGCAAACTGAGTGGCACCAAAGTCAGAGAGTGGATGACGACCACCCTTCTGCCCAACTCTGTGCTTGCTCACATCTGGAGGCTGTCTGATGTAGATGGGGATGGCATGCTGGACAATGAGGAGTTTGCTTTGGCAGTCCACCTTATTGAGGGAAAACTGGAGGGTCACTGGCTCCCCCGAGAACTGCCGTCTCACCTGGTACCACCGTCAAAACGGCTAAGTACAGCCAGCGATGAAGAGTAGACATGACATTGAGAGGAAGCTGAGGCTCTGTGTACATTATTTGTAAAATTTGTAAATAATTTCTTAAATGTAACCTAATCTGGTAGTAGCAGTCTGGTAGTAAACTAACCAAGTGTACCGTGCCTGTCCATTTGTATGTCAATCATCGTGACACCAAAATTGAAAGATTCCCGTTGATGTTTTGATCACTGCAAATTTTTCACATCATATTTTTTCCTCACATATCCATGGGAATAAGAAAAATATCATCATCAGAACTTATCTTCAGTTTGGTATATTCCTTTTTCTTTATACAATATAAGTAATATTTCACATTACCATAATGTATTTTTATCAATGGCATTAAACTTGTAAACATGACCAGACAGTTTTATTTCATTGTTTGCGATAGTATCATCATCACCACCATTATGCAATGGGTATTATGTTAAGGTCAGGTTGGTACTCACGCAGGTGGCAGAAACGGCCATAAAGCCCTGGAGAGCACAGGCAGCCTCCATACAGACGATGGCAATGTCCATTGTTGGGACAGTTGCACTTTCTTTTGCAGTGCCTCCCGAAAAAACCCCTTGGACAACCTGTAAACATGAATACTTCAGGATAGGATGCCCACTTACATTCAAATAAGCTCCACTGTGATAAGAGCCAACATTTAAACAAGGTTACAGTTCAAATAAAATAAAAAATACGATACAGTGCTCATCTCAAATTGGAAGACAGTATCTGTGGCAGTGTTGACATGAGATGACACATTCAGCACACTGAAGGCTAATGTAGAGCAGTGGTTCCTAACCTGGGGATCAGGACCCAAATAAGGGGTCCAAGATTAATATAGTGTCACATGATGATTGCCCAGGTGACAAATAAGATAATACATAATTGACCTTTCTTAATGTTTTTGGCTTCCCTCTTGTGAAATATTGTGGCTTTATCCTATTGGATAAAAATGAACCTCTGAAAATAATTCAATTGAAAGACTTTTTTAAGGATAACATTTATTGTTCCACTGAACTGCCCACAACTTGCAGACATACAACCTATGACAGACTCATCAGGAGATACTGTATTATATTAAGGGGTCACAAGGACAAAATGTTTAGAAGCAGGGAATAGGAGCCTGGTTGTTGTATTCACACCTGTGTGTGTACTGTGTGTGCATCTATATAAATGTGTGTATACAAACCATCCTCGCAGAACAGGCCCTGTACCCCAGGGGGGCACAAACACTTCCCAGTCACAGGGTCACACGAGCCTCCATTCTGACAACGGCACAGGCTATTACAGGCCTGCCCATAGGTCCCCTGGGGACAAGCTGGAGAGGGAGAGGTGGGAAAAAAGGGAAACATTGGGAAAGAGCATTGACACCTTAATAACTGCAGTATGACTTAATGAATCCAACTGTGGAGAATGCCTTTGACACTCAAACACAGACTCATGTATGAGGGAAGACAAAGTACATGCAGCCGTGTTAAGAAGTCAGTCAACACTTCCACCCTCCATCCTGTCTTTCCCCATGGTGTGTGCCCTCATGACACTCTTAATCTTTCTGGCCTTGTTAGCAGTTACAGCATGAACCAGCTGGTTGTTTAAGATGTGCTAAAGTGTTACAATCCATCAGGGGAATGTCTGCTTAAATTCCATGTCACATTTTATTCACAGCAGTTTCATGTCACTCATGGGAAGACAAACCAGTTTGAAATAATCAATGGGCTTAACAGCATTATAGTATCTTGTAATATCAAAATAGACACAAAAAATACAAGATTATGTGGTGCTATAACTTGCACTAGACGTGATGTGTACATGTGGAAATGCAACCAAAGTAAATGAACAGTACAGTGGGTGGGGTTATGAGGCATTGATTCTGCTTCATAATGATGGAACTGATACTGGGGTGTTTCCTTAGGCATGTTGAGGCAACATGCAAAACACACAGAGCTTAGAGTTTAAATAGCACAAATTATTGCTCTACCAATAATATTAAAAGTTGACTCTGGGAACTTGTCAACACATGCTTCTAGGCCATCTGATTTTCTGTTTGGTCAGAATTAAGTGCATAATCAGTAATTAGATAGCCGCAACATTTTGCAAACAGAATAGTCAAGTTAATTCAAAATTTAAACAAGATAATAGGCTGTGTGTGTATAAACATCTGGTAAAACACACTGACTGCATAAGTGAAATCACAAAAAAACAAGAAAAAATGAAGATAGACATGTTAAAGAAGGCAATTAAAAGAGATTTTAACTGAGATTTGAATTGTAGAAAAGGAGCTAAAACACAACATACTGTAATGCCAGGATGATACTGTATTTTGTACATTCAGCACACAAACGTTTAAATTATTTAAGTCACATATTTCTTTCTTGTAGCTATAACTTCATAGTGAAGTGACACCTATCAAGTATATAAGGTCCTATGTCCGGCCACTATGTTATTGCCTACTCTAACAATTCCCATATCTTTGCTTCAGGCAGTAATATTGCTCATCCTCTCTACCTCAAAATGCTACCCGTGTCCAGATCCATCACCTCCAGGGTGTGCATCTGAATACTGCCACCTCAGGAGCTTGTTTCTAAAAGTGACAGATTGCTTCTAACGGACTTGTCCCACGTGGCTCTCCTCTTATGATTACCAGCCCCACTCGGGTTCAGACCAAAGACAGCCATTAATCATGGAGCTGGATGGGAACAATGCAGCCTTGCTTTCTAACCCAGTAGTGGACATCCTTGGCCTCAGGCTGTGCTCTTGCTGTGGGCCCTGGCCTCACTCCAGTAGCAGACGGATTGATTCCCCCGGTGCTCTTGTGTTCGGGAGCCCATAAACAACCCAGCCTCCCACGCAGAGGAGCCGACAGGTTTTGATACATGGCCCTGGATCAATGCACACAGGGAGCTATCTCATCTCTCTCTAAAACTAGACCACATTGGTATGTGTGGTTCAAATAGCCCAAGAAGACGATGCGTCCTGTGGGAAAGACCAGGTTGTGTGCATGTGCATGTATGCTGCACTGTTAACATTATCCACTTGTCATGTATCTGGGATCTGGGAATAAATTATTCATTTTGGTCTCCGGTCCAGGCACATGTCTTGGCCAGAGAGTCATTTATATTTTACATCCTACATAATGGAATATTCAGGTCCCCAAACCTTTTAAGAGATAGTTTGACATTTTGAGAAATATGCTTATCTACATTCTTACTAAAAGTTAGATGAGAAGACCACTCTCGTGTACCACTCATATGGTAAACATATGAAGCAGCTAGCCTGTGCAAGGGTAGCAAAATCTAGTAGCTGGAGAGGTGGTAGTTCCACCTCCTGGGCACTGCAGAGGTGCCCCCAAGCAAGACTACTAACTCCCAACTTACCCTGTACACTGCCACAGCCCATCACTCCACTGTCTCACAACATTTATATGTCTGTGTGACTGTATTTTGGGCCAATGTGTGTAAAAGAGATTCGTAAAGTAAATCTTCTTTGAGAATTTTTGTTGCAAAGAAAAGATGTAATATACAATGCACAGATGTAACTGTATGTGCTGTTAACTACACTTACTCCCATTGCAGATGATCCCAGTCCACCCAGGTGAACACTGGCATCTGTCTCTGTTTTCACTACACGCTCCATTCACACAGTCTTCACAGCTCACACTGCAGTCATCCCCAAACGAGCCATCAAGACACACTGAAAAAGAACACCGGTATAGAGATTTAAAAGGAAAACAATACAATTATATCGAATATCTATTTAATTTATCACCAGGCGTACATCATTCATGGTTTTTACTGTACCTATGCTGCTGTCCAGTCTAAGTTCTCCTCGACGCTCCCTCTGAATCTCTAATTCTTTTTCACTGTCACCATCACTACCATAATCATCCTCAGTGTCATAACGGGAGTGCAAGGCTGCTGTGTACTGCAGGAGCTGAGGAGCCTTGCGGAACAGCAGGTCTGGTAATCTGTGGACCTCCAGCTGTTCATCCTCTTCATCCTCTTCCTCCTCTTCTTCTTCTTCCAGTTCTCTGCCATACAGAGCTAAACACACCCAGTACGAAATTAGAGTCAAATGATTTTAGATGGCAGAAACACTTATAATGTGTTAATTGTCCATGTTGTACAACAACTATTCAATCCAAGAATAACTGTGATACAAATGTCAACTCACAAATGCAGGAGTGCTGGTCCTGATCCAAGCGGAAGCCCAGTCGACAAAAGCACTCATATGTTCCCAGGGTGTTGACACAGTAGTGTTCACAACCTGAGGTTTCTGCTACACACTCATCAATGTCTAACAGAAGAATACACAAACAACACACAGCTCAGAGAATGAAAGGGTATTAATAACAAAAGTTTGCTGGGAGAGGGGTTGTGCAGATCAAGTTCAGGTGGGACCATTACTTTTGTTTCACTTCAAGGTACTCATTTAATTAAACTTTTTCTACCCATCTGGCAGTTCCTCTCTAGATTGTACAAAAACAGTTGCTCCTTAGTGAGAAAAATGCTCTTTGTATTGTTTACTGCTCTGCAATGGCCTTGAAAAACTTAATTTCAACTGAGCAATCAGTGAGTAAATTCGCACTTGGAATTTATGTCCTTGCACACAACATAGAAAACACAAAGCAGTCTAGGTAAACTGCTATCAATCTAGCACTCTTACCATCACAGCCACAGCCATCTGGGTTCAGTCTGTGGCCAGCTCTGCAGCTGCACTCGTAGCCACCTGGGTTGTTTCTACAGAAGTGACTGCAGCAGGACTCCCTACTGATACACTCATCACTATCTGATGAAGGCATGCAGTGGTAGGGTACAACAGAAAGCAGAAGTAGAGAGTCAAAAAAGTGTGAATGAAAAAGAACGAACAGGGAAAGAAACATAGACAGAGACCTGAACTTAGCTGCGTCACAGAGAGAAGTTCTTACCTACACAGGTTTTCCTGTCATGGTCCAGCTGGAAGCCGTGGTTGCAGGAGCAGAGAGGACCGTTGGTGGTGTGCTCACAGTGATGAGAGCAACCTCCGTTGTTCTTCTCACAGCTGTTGACGATCTCCATCTCAATGCCTGGAGGAGAGAGGAACAAAACCACAATTAAAGTGCACAACCAGAGCTGAAACATAAGGACAAGTTTATGGGGCATTTATGAGGCCTATTTTGGTTTCTCCCAGTTTTGTAATTACAAGTTACAGATGAGGAGAAGGGGGAAAAATCCATTCTTAAGCACAGATATAGTTTAAATTACAATGGAATTAGAAAGGTAAGTAAGTAAGTAATTAAGTACATTTCATTGTACTTACCTACATACCTAATGTGACTGCCATGGCTTTGAAACTGACATTTCTGATGTATTCTATGAGGCGTATCATTATCATTGTCATCCCACATGCTTCCTTAAGACTCTTGCAAGCATGCATGCAAGTTAGAGTGCAGCTTAGGATGTTTGTCAAAAATGTCAAATGTCTTTATTTTTTTGCAGTCATGAAGTAAATAATCATTTAACTTTATTGTGAATTACAATCTATCTGTTGGTAACTAAAGTGGCAGTATACTATAAACTAAGTAGACACAAAACTATGTTGCAAGTGTAGTTTTGGTAATTGTTTTGTTGTTTACATATTGCATCGACTGCACTGGATACAAATATTCAAATTTATTTTCCTTATTTACAAGAGAATTAAAGGACACAAAGAATCGTGTTCAACAGTCAGCTGGAGTTTGCAGAAGGCCATCTTTAGTTTCTACGGCTTTTACTTACGGTAGCACTGTTTTCCGTCAGCACCAAGTTCAAAGCCTGGATGACACACACAGCTGAAGGAGCCCAGCATGTTGACACATCCATGGGAACACTTGGCATGGCCTGAACCGCACTCATCAATGTCTATAAGGGACAGGTAATAAACCACAAAGGCGGGCATGTTTACACAGAGATATAGTGTACTGTACATACAGATAGACACACAATGCTTTTAATGTTTGATTAATTGATGTGCGTTGTACATATATTGTTTTAGTGTGTTGTTTCTATTACTTATCAAAGTTATTTATATTAACATATGTGAAGTGTCATTGAGTTCCTTGACAAGAGTTCTATAAATAAAATGTATTAATATTATTATTATTATAAAAACAAAAATCATAGGAGCATGAGAAAGTCATGATGGCAAACATTTCTTATCAAAGATTTATCTGTTTTACAAAGTTGCAAAACACAAGAAAATATCTCTGGGTCATATTGAGACATAGTCAGGGTCCAGATATTTTCAGAGGTGACATATGTCTTCCTGTCCTCTTTGACTAGGAATAAGCAACCTAGCCCTCTTGGCCAAGTTGCAGTTTACACAAGACCAGAAGGCCCTGGGTTATTATGGTTCATACTGCAAAAGAAACACAGTTTTTTCAACAGACACACATGAACATTGAGACAAAAAGTTTATACACCAACTCAGAGCCCTTGCCTGAGTTTTAGCTACATGCACACACTGACAGAAAGTCACAAATGTTTAAGGTCACAAGTTTTTGGGGGTCAGGTAGAAGCACTTTTAAGGGGCTGAGATAAAGAGAAGCTCAGTGATGCCTTTGTTTGGAGCTGTTTCTGGCACTAGATGTTAATGAACCAAACACACATAATGTCACAGCATTAGGAAACTATGCTCCCATACGGTCTTAAAAAAATCTGGATGGGTAAAGGATTTCAAAACAATATAGCAAACACTTCCTCCAGCAGGAAGACTTTCAGGTCTCTCAGGTATCAGATTTCTCAAGCTTTTCCTTTCATTTTAGTAGGATGGATGTAAGTAAAGTTTCCAACATCAGCCTCTCAATCTATACTGCTCTGTTATAGAGCAGATTTGCTTTCAAAAGGAGGGTCAGTGTTGCTGCTTATGGAAAAATCATGTATTTCATTCTCTTATTAAACTGTTTGATAAATCCACTCTCAAGGTATGTGTTTGTGTGTGTGTGTGTGTGTGTGTGTGTGTGTGTGTGTGTGTGTAATTCCTCACCTTCACAGTTCTTGCCATCTCCAGCCAGTGTAAAACCAGGTCGGCAGTTGCAGCGAACCCGGCTGCCTTCTGAAAGACACAGCTGGCTGCAGCCTCCATTCCTCTCCTCACAGGGGTCCCTCACTGATGCACACAAACACACAGAGGGAGAAGCACACACACAGAGACACACACAGACACAAAAATGTAGCCAGGTCAGCCCAGCAGGTAATTCCCTGACCTGCTGGTTAGTTCATGAGCACAGATTAAATTCAAAAGTTTGACTTCTGCACTTAACAGCATTTTAAAAAAATTAAAAAAGGTTTCCGATACTGTGTGAGTCTGGTTATGACATCTGTAAGATGCCCAGTAAAAAAACAAAAAACATTTTCAAATCTGGGAGGACAAATCTGAATTCCTGCTCTTTACTGTACATTAACTGTTTCCAAAGCTGTTTCTCAAATTAATTTTTTTTCTCTACAAGGAGTAGCCACACAAAATGTTAACAGTAAAAGCAGCTAGCTAAAGACAATAGATTCCTTTTTTTTTTTTTTTTTGGATTCTCCAATTTGCTTTTAGTTCGACAGAGTGACCTTTCAGCCCATGTCGGTACAGTACTAGTTTCACTGTGGATAAAACACACCTACCAGCTTCAGCCAGCATCTTCACAAGGTCTTTGCTTTTGTTCTTGGGTTGATATGCACATTTCGGACCAAAGCACGTTCAACTCTGGGACACAGAACCCGTCTCCTTCCTGAGTGGTATGATGGCTAGACACTGCCATGGTGTTTATACTTGCGTATAATTATTTGAACAGATGAACGTGGCACCTTCAGGCATCTGGAAATTGCACCCAAGGATGAACCAGACTTGTGCAAGTCCACAATTCTCTTCCTGATATCTTGGCTGATTTCTTTAGACTTTCCCATGATGTACACAAAGAAGCAGTGCGTTTCAGGTGTGCCTTTACAATACATCCACAGGTGTGTGTCTCTAATTAACTCAAATGTTGTCAATAAACCTGGTTCTGTGTCCCAGAGTTGAACGTGCTTTGGTCCGAAATGTGCATATCAACCCAAGAACAAAAGCAAAAGACCTTGTGAAGATGCTGGCTGAAGCTGGTAAGAGTGTGTCTTTATCCACAGTGAAACTAGTACTGTACCGACATGGGCTGAAAGGTCACTCTGTCAGGAAGAAGCCATTACTCCAAAAGACACATAGGAAAGCCAGATTACAGTTTGCAAATGCACACAGGGACAAAGACCTTAATTGTTGGAGACATGTCCTGTGGTCTGAAAACTAAAATCAAACTGTTTGGCCATAATGACCATCGTTAAGTTTGGAGGAAAAGGGGGAAGCTTGCAGCCTGAGAACACCATCCCAACTGTGAAATAGAGGGATGGCAGCATCATCTGTTGGTTGATATACACATTCGGACCAAAGCACGTTCAACTCTGGGACACAGAACCCGTCTCCTGAGCGGTATGATGGCTGGACATTCCCATGGTGTTTATCTTGCGTATAATGTTTGAACAGATGAACATGGCACCTTCAGGCATCTGGAAATACACCCAAGGATGAACCAGACTTGTGCAAGTCCACAATTCTCTTCCTGATATCTTGGCTGATTTCTTTTGACTTTCCCATGATATTACACAAAGAAGCAGTGTGTTTCAGGTGTGCCTTAGTTGCAGCGAACCCGGCTGCCTTCTGAAAGACACAGCTGGCTGCAGCCTCCATTCCTCTCCTCACAGGGGTCCCTCACTGATGCACACAAACACACAGAGGGAGAAGCACACACACAGAGACACACACAGACACAAAAATGTAGCCAGGTCAGCCCAGCAGGTAATTCCCTGACCTGCTGGTTAGTTCATGAGCACAGATTAAATTCCCAAGTTTGACTTCTGCACTTAACAGCATTTTAAAAAAATAAAAAAGGTTTCCGATACTGTGTGAGTCTGGTTATGACATCTGTAAGATGCCCAGTAAAAAAACAAAAAACATTTTCAAATCTGGGAGGACAAATCTGAATTCCTGCTCTTTACTGTACATTAACTGTTTCCAAAGCTGTTTCTCAAATTAATTTTTTTTCTCTACAAGGAGTAGCCACACAAAATGTTAACAGTAAAAGCAGCTAGCTAAAGACAATAGATTCTAATGAACCCTGTTTGCCCAGTGATTTCTGACATATTCTTGCATCTGCTGGCAAAATGACTTACATTCACAATGTCTCCCATCTCTCTTCAGGTGGTAGTTCTTTCGACATTCACATTTGTAGTGATTGTTCCCCATGTCCACACACTTATGTTCACATCCACCATTCAGAACCGAGCAAGAGTTAACAGCTTAAAAGAAAAAGGGACACAGAAACATGCATGATAAATAAGCATAAAACCCCATCATCTCTGGTATCCAATTATGGAAACATTGGATGTTAAACTCTGACCAGTTAAAATCTGAACTCACACAGGATGACAAATATAATTGAATTTGTTGGCAATCTAAAATGGCTTTCACACCTCAAACTCTGTGTAATTATTGAAAACACTCGGGCAAAGGCTGGAAGCTGGAAAATGATATTCAAGCTGGGTCCAGCGGGTACCCCTGGTTACTTTCTAATGATCTTTCCATCCCATTACCCCTGTGATTTAATGATGTGCCAAATATGAATATCAGCCCTGTGCCTTCTGGGTGCTCTAAACACAGACATGATGACACAGACGGCCTGTAAAACTGAGAGAACGGCTGGCTTTTAACATTGATGACTTCAACAGGCACAATTAGCTATCCCTCTGCCTCCATCCCTATCCTCTACCACTAAGCTGTGGTGTATTAAGAATAAAAAATAAGACCAAAAGCAACAGAGGAGTTCCGATTTACAGCAAGTAACAAATTCTCTCATTACCTACAGATTTTATGGTGCTAAAATGGGAAAAAGTACTACCATCTTATATTTCTCCATTTCAAATCATGTCAGAATTTCCCACTAGACACTGGGATTAATCATGAAGCTCAGCACTCCTTTTCTTTGTTACTTAAGTGTTGCTGGAAAGAGCTGCAATGCATCTGCTATAAAGGGATGGAGATATTCCTCCAGGTGTTCTCACACACTGGGCATGGCTCACACTGTCAGAATTGGTTGTGATGTGATCTTTGTATCCTGAAGGACCGTAACAATATGAAACATTCAGCATTCGAAAAAAAAGGAAAAATATGTCCAATAATGTGTATGCATTGGATTACTTTAGCATGGCAATACTTTGACATAAAATACAAAACAATAAAAATACTGATATATTGTGACCTCTGACAGATGAATGCATCTGTATTTGGTTGTGTTTTCTCACTTTGTAGCATGTGCATCTAGAAAATTTGCAATGGAGTTTTTTTTTAAGTTGCAGTACATTGAGCTTTTTGCAGCCACTGTAGTATATAGTTTAGTCTATACTAAACTTTTTGATTTGATTACACTACTAGTTATCATATGACACCATTAGCTGTTGTTGTTGCCGTAAAGTTGCCAGGCAACCAAACAAGAAATAGTCCAGCACAACTTTCCTCTATTTATTTATTTTTTTATTAACATACAAGATATAACCTTTTTATTACTGAGCTTTAGAGGGGCTATTACCTGCACACAGAGACAGGCTAACTGTTTTAAGTCATTATGCTAAGCTAAGCTACCCTGCTACTGGCTCCAGCTTTATACTGAACATACACATATAAGAGTGGTGTCAATCTCCTTATCTAACTCCAGGCGAGAAAGTTTTAAGCTGCATTGTATCCATGTTATTCCTCTACTCCATTAATGAGGAGAGAATGCAGTGTTTGGGGAGGAGTCCAAGGACTTTTTTTTAGCACAAGTGTAACAAATATTTCTGTTTTGTACTTACCAATACATGTCCGGCCATCAGTGTGCATACGGAAGCCTTCGCTGCACTCACAGTGATAAGAGCCCGGTGTGTTGACACATGTTTGCTGGCATCCTCCATTGAGCTCCTCACACTCGTTAACATCTGAACACACACATTGTCAGATGTCAGTCTGCTTCTGACTGTGTCAAAGACTTCATTTAGCAGCATGCCTGTCATGAATAAGGCACAATTAGAAGCCCATATAAATGGCCTCTCTGCTTGAGTCATCTTGTGTGTTAAAAAACTGGGACTTCAGCTGCTGAACAAGGACAGATTGAGAACTTTGGTAGGAGTTGTAGGATAATAATTCTGAATTACATCCTTTATAAAATCTCACATCCAACTTTGAGGCGGTCTAATTAAACATTCCTTCTGCGGTGAGCGAAATAAAGGAAAATGAAAAACACATTTGTATTTAAAGAGTTGTAATTGTGTAATTTTTACCAAGTTTTACTTTTGAGTAGAGTTCAGTGTGTTCAATGTGTCAGTGTGCCTTTGAGCAAGACACTGAATCACCGTCTGCTTCACAAGCACAATACCACACCGACACTGTACTCTGACTCCTGTAAATACATGTATAATAGGGTGAATGGCTTATCGTGCTCTTTGTGCAGTAGTACGCGTGTAATCCATTTGTTTCCTGCAGAGGAGAGAATTGCATATGGCTGCACGTGTGTCAGACTGAAGCTCATGTTCCACAGAGACAGAAGCAAGCTGAGAAGACAACATACCTGAACACTCCACTCAAGGACAATCAGACTTTACTACACATCTGGACAACACATCACACATCCTCCTGACCTCCTCCAGGTTGTCATCTCTGACTCGCAAGGGCTTTTTCGGCTCACGCTGGTGATGACAGAGTAGATGTGTGCGAGGAGCGTGGGAGGGGAATATAATGTTGCATTTACCTTTTTTAGGGGGAGGGGGTTGTTAAACACTAAGAACATGTGGTTCAGTTTATTTGAGCATGCAACACTACCATCATTTTGGTTCCGCAGAGGTTTAAGTGCTTCCCAAGTAGTGCAAATATTAGAAATCATTTTTAAATAGTTTGCGTGTGAGTGTGTGCGTGTGACAAACCCGTGGGAAAAGAAAATGATTTCAAGACTATTTTAATTAGCTTGTTTCCAATAAAAGGAGCTAAAGAGAAAAGGGGGAGGGGGGTGTCAAAGTGGAGCCCAGTTGCCAGTAGAAGAATCCTTTTCATGCCCTGCACATAGTGTGATCAGGTTTAAGGAATTCATATTCATTTGCCTAATTTATTTAGACATCTGTCTGAGTGAAGAAACAAATAATTACTAAACAACCGCCTGTGAAGAATCACACATTCATGAACCATCCTATTAGGGGGGCTCTTTTGTATATTAACACATTGGCAGCTATTGTAGAGAATGCCTAACATACAAAACAATAGACGCAGGGGGAGGTTTGTCAAGGTTAATATACTTATTGGTCTCCTCATGTGAGAGGATTTCAATGGGAGACACACAATGGCTGCTTTTCACCGGTGGAAGAGGTGGTGTGTGTGGCAGCAGGGGCGGGGGTGGTGGTGGTGGTGGTGGTACTGGTGTCAGAGGTCGAGGGGCATGAGGTCTGAACGGTATCGCGTGACACTGTCTGGCTCTAAGTGGAGCTGCTGAGCTGGCATCTACAGCTATACAATGTGGCGGACCAAACATTTGGGAGCGCTGCTTTGGAAATGAACAGGTGGTTTTCAGAATGAGCACCACAAGAACTGAAGTTACTAAAATAAGAAGAGGACCAGAGGCATTCTGGTGTGAGAGCAATCATTTATATGTGTTACCTTATATGACAGTATTTATCGTACTTTTCGGCAGTCATCTCCCACAGCTCTCAGTTTCCAGAGTGGCATACTAACTTTGAAAGTCCCACAATGATTGATGATTTAAAAACAATTCCTCCACAGGTTTATTCTTCTTCAAGAGTTCAGACCCAAACTCGCTGTCTATCCCCATAAATACTACACATACAATTCACACAAAAAGCCGTAAAAGAAGAACTTCACAGCTGCTTCTGTTTTTCTTCTCCATTGGTTAGTTCTCTGACTTTAAATCATTAGTAAGTGACAATATCCTGTCTTAAAGGTTAAAGGTCAGGGGCACTTGTTCACACCTGTAGCTCTAAAGAACAAATGGGCCTTAGTGCCCAACACTAACTCAGCATATTTCTGTCAGATGAGACGGGCAAACTGCTGCTAGTATACTGTCTGAGAAGAGAAGGTTATTAGAAAGCGGTGCTGCCTGTGTGGTTGGTTTAGACCTTTACAGCCTCGAGTCTAGACGGTTAAGTAGGTCTTCAGTTGGTCAAAATAGGCTAAAGCATGACTAAATCAAACGACTAAATATTTCTGTAATTCAGTCCACATTGAATTCATTCTAATTAATTCTATTCATACTAAAATACATAAAAAATAAAACTTTTTAGAGCAATAATGGAACTGTATGTTTACAATGTTTTCTGATAAGTGGGTTGAGACTCAACACACTGCTACAACCTGCAAGGCGAGGGTAACTTGACTGACAGCCAGAGGTTTTTGGTAGCCTTGCAAGCTTGTCTACTTGCATTGCAGAAAAAGGACAACAGTGAAGAAGCACATAACACAACTGAAAATGAGTAAAACAGGTCTGACGTGATACACAAGAAAACAGCATTGTACATTTATAGTTAAAAAGTAGCAATGTGCCAATAAGAGGAAGAAGAACACCTCAAGCTGATGTAAACAATGCATGTTTCAGAACACAAAAAAGAACTTGGCAAATGTTTATGAGGCGCTGAATGCATTCAACATGTTTTTGTTAAGCTCAATTCATTTTGGTGAGAAACACTGAAGGTAAACAAAACCATGCTTCTTTACAATGATAGCTTCACATAATACCTTTAATCTTGTAATTTTCCCCATTATGCGCTATAATATACTGCTGTACACATTACACTACACAGTGGAATGCATATGACTAAAGACTAAAAGGAAGTTTAAAGTTTTTATTTTATCTTTGCAAAAATAGCTCAAGGGTATCATAATAAAACAAATAAATTGACTAACATGTGTACTTATCTAAATCTAATCAGGGCAAATTAAGACTTATTTTGGTTCACTGCTTGTGAAAATAGCTATTTTACAGCCATAAATAAATTACATTAAAATATAAAAAATGTGTTATCGTATGCGTCGTGTGTGATATTTTGTGTTTGTTTTTTGTTGAAAACATAACACGCAAACCCCGGAAAAGTCATTCACATTCTGACATAAAAAATAAATAAAAAACAGTAAAGGAAGCCCTGACTGGGCAGAGAGCCTTCTACAGTGTGTCTGTGTCTGTACACATCAGTTACATCCAGATGTCCATCTTACCATGACATGCCTTGCCATCTGGCCCTAGTCTACTGCCTTCCGGACACTTGCAGTAGTAGCTGCCAATGGTGTTACAACAGTATCCCTCACAGCCGCCTTCATTCACTTCACATTCATTAACATCTGAAAGAAAAGGATTAAAAGACCAGTTTTACATAACATAACATAACATAACATAATGCACAGTCCACAAAACACTGCAGCTGAATGAGGACAGAAAGGTTTCTAACTACCTTTCAGCTAACCTTTCTTGCTTTCTGTTTAGTCCCTTCATGTATTCATTTATTTCCCCTTTTCAGCAGGATAGAAATCTACAAAACCTTTCTAGAGTGTATTTGCACTTATCACTTTACAGAGCCCAACACAGTCTCTATGACAGAGATACTTTTGGTGTCAGTTAACTCCCAGAGGTAAAAACAAAACTGTTGTTTGTGAGTCTGTTGCCAATCATTACCAACCAGAGCATTCCTGGTGGAAAATAAAAGGAAAAGGAGAAGCTATAACTTGCATTTTTCTACATGTTGTGGTTCACCAATTTAATTCACAACAGTAAAACTGAGAAGTCTGCAGTCTTCTACCTTCACTTCATACAACATATGCCAGTAGTTCCACTCTGTCATTAGTGTGTATCTAAATCCAATCAGCTATTTCCAAAGAAGCCTTATGTTGACCCACTCTGTTTTCATGGTCTTCCCATGTTTCCAATGTTCTTACTTGTCTCTGGGGGTGAAATGGTTTCCAGGTTTGTTCCCTGTTTAGATCTTACACAGGAAGGGCTCCTTTTTCTGGTGCTGTATAATGATTCCTATCAACTGTGCATCACTACCAAAGAATGTCTCTAAACACATTATTCTTTGTGACACGCAAGAGAAAAGTTCTAATATGATCAATCTGTGACACACAAGATGTTGATATACCCCAGTGATTGTCATTTTTTTTAAATTAAAACTGGCTTATGTAAATGTATAACAGGAAACATTTGCCTCATGGCACTGTTGGTATCTGCAAAAATGTTTTTTTTTTTTTTTTCACACTTTATTTATTGGTTTTCACAGTTGAAAATGTGACAGCATGTATACAGAAATACAAGAACAAACTTTTTCCAACCCCGACCCCCCACCCCTGGGGACAAGCAAAAAAAAAAAATAAATAAATAAATAAATAAAAATAGATAAATAAATAAAAAATAATAATGGACCTTGTATCAATGACAAGAGCAATCAAAGCAGACTAACGGAAAAGCAAAACAGAAAAACAAACAAAAAAACAAAACAAAGACAAAGCGTGTGTGTGAGATAACAAACATGTGGCTTTCAGTAATAGTAAAAGACAGTATATATAGCTGACCTATAGGACAAAACCTCATGTTTGTTCGAGCAGATATGTAATGAAAGGTTGCCATATCCTGCTGAAATTATCATTAGGACGTCGTAAAGCCAGTCTAATCTTCTCTAGCTTCAGGAGTTGTAGCGTATCTCTAATCCAATGTTTGTAGGACGGCGGGGTAGCCTGCTTCCAATTAAGTAAGATTATTCTTCTCGTCAAGAGGGTGACAAAAGCAATGCGATTGGATTGTGCCCTAGGAAGATGATCAGCCTCACATTGAATGCCAAATATGGCCGTGAGAGGGTTCGGTTCCATTGGTCTTTTAGATATCTTGGATAAGGCATCGAATATAGAAGACCAGTAATCTGAGAGTCTCGGAAGAGACCAGAATGTATGAGCCAACGTTGCAGGTGAAAAATTGCTTCTATTACATGAATTATCCAATGCTGGGTACATCTTTGCGAGTCTGGCTTTAGACAAGTGCAGTATGTGTACAACTTTGAATTGAAGTAGGCCATGTCTGGCACAGATTGATGAGGAGTGTATTCTTGAAAATATGTCTGACCATTCAGTATCTGTAATTTGTAAATTCAGATCAGCCTGCCATGCTTCTTTCAATGCATCAAGAGATGCCAACTGTAGGGATGAGAGTTTCATATATATGGCGGATGTTATGCCTTTGTTAGATAGGGCTGTTGGAATCAAAGTATCCCTGGGCTGTTGTTCAGGGGCTGCTGGATATGATCGTGTTTGATTACGAATCCAATCCCGGACCTGCAGAAATCTTAAAAAATGTGATTTTGGTAAATCAAATTTAGCTCTGAGCTGGTCAAATGAGGCAAAAGTATCTGCTATGTATAGATCTTTAAATGAGATAATACCTTTCTCGCGCCAGACTAATAAAGAGTCATGTTCAAGTGAGGGGGGAAATTGATGGTTTGCCACGATTGGGGCACAAAGCGAGCCAGCCTGCCAGCCGAAGTGTTTTCGTACCTGAGCCCATATACGCAGTGACTGATAGACTAGGGGGGCAGTAGATGTGTGACGTGGTGTGATGGGCATTGCCGAATACAACAGGGCTGGGAGGGATAATGGGAGGCTTGCATCAGCCTCCATTTGGACCCAGGCGGGGGTTTCATTGTTAGCATGGGTTTGAAGCCAATAAGCCAAGGCTCTCAGGTTACTCGCCCAATAGTATAGTTGGAAATGGGGTAAAGCCATCCCACCCACAGATTTGGGTCTCTGCAAAAATTCCTTACGCATACGAAGTGGTTTCTTTTTCCAAATGAAGTCAGAGATAATCTTATTGAGATGTGAGAAGAAAGATTTGTTGATAAAGATCGGTATAGTTTGGAACAGGTATAAGAATTTGGGCAATACGTTCATTTTTATTAGGTTAAGTCTGCCAGCTAGTGAAATAGGAAGTGTAGACCATCTGTCAAAGGCCATCCTGGTGCGCTCTAAAAGAGTAGTAAAATTAAGTTTAAAGAGGTCTGAGATTTTTCGAGCTATAACTATGCCCAGGTACGTGAATTTATCAGTAGACACCTTGAAAGGGTAAGAGCTAAAAGAGAGTGATTGTGCAGCAGAGTTGACAGGGAAAAGTTCACTTTTCGAGACATTAATCTTATACCCAGAGAGCTTGGTAAAACGATCTAATGTAGTCATAATATGCGGTAAAGTATTCTGGGGATCAGTGATATATAACAATAAATTGTTAGCATATAACGATAACTTATGTTCCTTTCCACTCCTTAATATGCCGCGAATCTCAGGTAAAGAGCGCAGTGATGCTGCGAGAGGTTCGATAGCTATCGCGAATAAAAAGAGGTGAGATTGGGCATCCTTGCCTCGTGCCACGTTGCAACGGGAAATATTGGGAGTCCATATTATTAGTGCGTACTGACGACATTGGGGATTTATATAACAATTTTAACCATGATATGAATTTATGGCCAAATTTAAATCTCTCTAGACACTGAAAAAGGTAGCCCCACTCGACCTTATCAAACGCCTTTTCAGCATCCAAAGAGATAATTATTTCAGGTAGCGGCTGATTGGGATCCGCGTTCTGCATAATATTTAAGAGCCGACGAATGTTAAAAAAGAAAGGCGTTTTTTTATAAAACCAGTTTGATCTGGAGAAATAATTGAAGGTAGGGTATCTTCTAGACGGTGAGCTAAGATCTTAGCTAACAATTTGCAGTCCACATTCAGGAGTGATACTGGACGGTAAGACCCACAACTAAGGGGATCCCTATCCTTTTCAATATAACAGAGATAGAGGCCTGAGAGAACGTGGGTGGGAGTTGGCCCTTGGCAAAGGATTCCTCAAAAACAGTGAGTAAAATTGGCAGCAACTTATCACTAAATCCCTTTAAGAATTCGACCGTAAACCCGTCAGGTCTGTGAGATCCTTAAAGCGCTGTTTCCTACTCCTACCCTCCCAGGAGGTGTATGAAATAATCACTCCTCTTAGAAAAGCTTTAAGCAAATCCCAGAGAATAGATTTGCTAACATCTGGTGTGTCATTTGTGGACAAGAAAAAATCAATTTGTGTGTGTATGCGGTTAACGAACCCTTCGTCACTGAGTGAAGCATTGTTAAAGCGCCACGGACGCCGAGCAACTTTCTTAGGAAAGGATATTTGCAAAACTACAGGCCCATGATCAGAAATGACAATGCCTTCGTACCTGCAATCTCTGACTGAGGTCAACAACTGACTATCAATTTAAAAATAATCAATGCGCGAGTAGGAATGATGCACGGGAGAAAAATGAATAATGTCTTAAATCAGGATACAGGAAACGCCAGGGATCAGTCATGTTATATACTTGAAGGAAGGAGTTAATAATCTTCGCTGATCTTGTTATATTGTAGGGGGTGCTAGAGGAGCGGTCTAATACCGGATGTAGTACACAGTTACCCCCTAGAATAAGCCTGTGTGTGTTTAAATTGGGTAGTGAGGATAAAAATGTCTTCAAAAATTGTGCATCATCCCCGTTCGGCGCATATACATTAGCCAGAATTATAGGTATATTATACAGGGTACCTGTGACCACAACATATCTCCCTCGGTGGTCTGCAGTTTGCATAATAAAAGGGGTATTCCTATTAACAAGAATTGCAGCTCCCCTACACTTGTATTGATAATTAGAGTGATATAATTGCCCCACCCACCCTGTACATAATCTGTTATGGTCGGAGGTCATGAGATGGGTTTCTTGAAGGAAAGCGATGTTAACATCAAGCCTTCTCAGATGGGATAAAACTCTGTTACGTTTGATAATGTGATTAACTCCCTTGGTGTTCCAACTGATACAATTCACTGCAATATCGCCATTACTCCTGGTCAGCACTGAATTAACCATAATCAGAGGTAAGCAGGGAATTGACTGCTGTTAAAGCATCCACAGAATATCGCTGACGCCACCACACACACCCATTAATACGAAACAATAAGTTAAGCATACAGACAAAAAAAAAAAAAAAACATCATGCCCCCTCCCCGGAATTACCTCTTCCCAAACGAGAGGTAAAAAAACCCATAAACACTTGGTACTCTTCTTCTTCCATAGCGCTTCCATACGCAGAGAAAAAAAACCACAGCAAAAAAGAAAAAACAGCACACTGCTCCTTAGTGTTATATGTTTCAGTAGTCACAATTAAAGAAAAATTTAAATCTCTGCCTTCAATATCCAGATATAAACATGGATATAACCATGGAGAACCTCTCGTGATGATGAGGGAAACTAAATATACACACACACAAATAAAATGTTGTGGTCTGCTAGAAA